ATAAAGATCATGTCCAAAAGCAGCTTCTGAAGAAAAGGATTCATTGGGCTTACAGGTCAGCATCACTCCTTGTTGAGGGAGGTCAGGGCAGGAACTCAGGTAGGGTAGGAACCTGGAGACAGGAACTGAAGCAGAAAACATGGAGGAAAGCTGCTTGCCAGCTTACCCTCTGGCTTGCTCAGCTACCTTTCTTCTGCAAGTCTCTAACCTGAAGTCCTCCTGCTCTGCCTTTAATAACGTATTGAAGGGCCTTATCTCTGAATACATTAGCAAGCTAGTGAGCGGCAGCGGGGGTTGGGGGCTCAGCATCTGAATCTGAGGGGAACACACGTAAGTCCATCACAGTGCCCTTATTAACTAGTGTTGTAAGAGTTCTGTCCCCTCCTCCCAAGGCCCCAAGGTCAAACCAAAGCATGCTTCCATCCGAGTCCCCGAGGGAACCAGTGAGCTATTGGTGAGGGGTTACGGGCAGAATGGAGACAAAGCAGCCACAGTGGAAAGTCTGCAACCCACACGAATTCGGGCTTCCATAGCGATGGAGCCCCCCTCCCGGCCTAGAGTCCAGCCCTGACTGCAAGACCCTCTTCCCCAACCAGGCCACTGGCAATTATGGAAAAACTGCGTAGGACTGACTGGGAGGAGTGGCTGGATCCGGGTGAGGGTCCATGACTCCTCCCTGTCCCTCTCCTGCTAGGAGGGAATGTCCACAGTGAGCAAGGCCAGCTGGAATGCATGTCTGTGCGAGCAGGCCCAGCTGAACTCCCGAAGGATAGGACTGGTTTGGCTGAGGGGAGGGTGGCTTCCAAGGAGATGAGATGATGAATAATCCCAGCCCCGAGCAAGCCTCAAAAGTCTCTAGGCAAGCTGATGCTTCACAGAGACCAGATTCTATCAGACAGGGCCAGGGCCCCTACACACACACACACACACACACACACACACACACACACACACGCCACACAAACACACACACATATATGTGTGTGCACACGCACGCACACACACCTACAAATTTCTGTGCACCTGCCTCATCTCCAGCTCTTGTCTTGTGACCCTGGCCTCCCCGCCTTCTATTCAGAGCTATTTTTTATAAAGTCGTACTGCACTTATTTGTGTGTGTGACCACCTGTGTCACATGTGTGGCTGCTGAAGGGCAGCTTGTGGGGACACCTTTCACCATGTGGGTCCGGAGAATTGAACCCAGGTCTTCAGCCGTGGTAGCAGTCATCTCTACCCTCTGAGCCACCTATCTGTCCCTTCCTCCTCTTTTTTATTTTTTGTAAAGATTATTGTTTATATAGTATTCTGCCTGCATGTACACCTGCACAACAGGAGAGGGCACCAAATCTCATTATAGATGGCTGTGAGCCATCCTGTGGTTGTGGGAACTGAACTCAGGACCTCTGGAAGAGCAGACAGTGCTCTTAACCACTGAGCCACACCCCAGCCCCCCCCCCCTTTAAGTCTTTGTGTATGTATGCATACATGCATGGGGGGGTGTCTGTGTGAAACACAACCTGCAGGAGTCAGTTTTCTCCCTCATCGTGTAGGTCTTCGGGGATCAGACTCAAGTTGGTGAACTTGGTGGAAGCCCCTTCACCTGCTGAGCCATGGTGCTAACCCTAAAAGCTAATTCTTCACTGGTACCATGCACCCACCTTCTGAGGCTCCCAGGGCTCTCAAACCTCAGTGGCCATTGGTCACTGTCGCCTGGCTCTATCTGCTACCCCCTGCCAGAGTCAGACTTTCCTGAGCTGCCATCTCATCTGTTACCTGTGTCCTTCAAGCACACGGGCATGATACAGACTGGCTTATTTCCTGTCAGTTCCCCCCGGCCTACTGCTTTCCTACTGTTCTCCTTATCTACCTTGACCTTTAAGCTGGGCCACTGTTTGCCCTCCCTTGGTAAATCTGCACATGCCCAGAGTTCAGCTACCAGGTGTCTGTCCAATGCAGATCTTGTCATCTGTTCTCTTCCTGTTGGTGCAGCTGTTTCCAACCTCGCCATCCAGCAGGCGCTCAATAATTGCCCAGTCAATGAAACCAAGATAGCAGGAAAGCAAGGGCTACCAAGTTGCTCAAAGAAACCACAGAGGCCAGCAACTTAGCTTGACGGATTGGTAGAGTGCTTACCTAGCATTCACAAGGCCCTAAGATCCATGCCCAAACCACATAACCTAGGTGTGGGGTGGCATGCCTATAAGCCCAACATTCAAGTCATATTATTAAGTTTGATGCCAGCTAGGGTGACATGAGACACTGTCTCAAAAAACTTTTTTGTCCAGAAGAAGAAGGATGAGGAGGAGGAGGAGGAGGAGGAGGAGGAGGAGGAGGAGGAGAAGGAGGAGGAGGAGAAGAAGAAGAGGCTGCCCAGTGTGCCTAGGAAGCAGAGGCAGGTGGATCGCTGTGAGTTCGAGGCCAGCCAAGGGTACACAATGAGACTGTATCTCAAAAACAAAACAAAACGAAGAAAGGAAGGAGAAAGAAAAAAAAATGGGTGACCAGCTTCTTTCTATACACAAATTTGGTATTGTGTGTCTAAAGCATATCTTTGATAAATCATGTCTAATTTGCAGGCTGCATTCGCTGAAGAACACCCTTTTCTGGCCTCTGTGGACACTGCACACACATAGAGCATGTACACACATGAAGGTAAACATACATACATGTAAAATAAAAATAAGTTTCAAAAACAAACCAGTGCGGGGGAGGCACTCAGGGAGGCAGAGGCAGGTGGATCTCTGTGAGTTCGAGGCCAGGCTGGTCTACAAAGTGAGTCCAGGACAGCCAGGGCTACACAGAGAAACCCTGTTTCAGAAAACAAAACAAAACAAAAAACCCAAACAGAAAATGAAAAGACCACCCCTGGAAAGAATGTCTCGGAGCCCAATAGCCAGCGTAAATAGCCAGGGAAGGGGACTTCCACCAATCACAGCAAACCTGACATGCAAATGAGGGCTAACGTTTGTTTAGTCCTGTCAGCAGTCAAAAATGGCCGGCTGCTAGGGAAGCACCTCAGGCCTCAGTGGAAATAGCTGCAGGGCCATCTAGAATTCAAAAAAGTAGTGGTAACAACAGGCCCCGTGCCTTTTGAAACAGTTCTTGCTACACCTGCAGGCGCAGGAACACTCAACAGCCATCCCTGGGCCAGCAAGATGGCTTAGTGGAGCAAAGGGTGCTTGTCCAGTTTAATGACCGAGGGCCCACATGGCAGGAGAAAAGAAAAGAATAAATTGTAAATTGTCTTCTGTTCTTCGTGTGTATGCCCTGGCACATGCTCCCCGCACCTCATCTCACGCATGCACACACACAGAAATAAAGTCCAGTAGCCGTCATGATGAAGCTTTCTTAAGCTGTCTGTGAACTTCTGGTGCTGGTTTAAGTGGAGCCTGTCTATCTGACTGACAGGTTTCTGTTTCTGTTTTTTTTTTTTTTTCCGAGACAAGGTTTCTCTGTGTAACCTTGGCTGTCCTGGACTCACTTTGTAGACCAGGCTAGCCTTGAACTCACAGAGATCTGCTTGCCTCTGCCTCCCTGAGTGCTGGGATTATAGGCGTGAACCACCTTGCCTGGCTCTGGCTGATAGTTCTTTCACTCAAGGCAGCCAGGACTGCACGTGAAAGCCCAAGAGCTGCCTATTCAGGACTCAAATTTCCCCATCCCCAACATCTTTGCTTACTTACAGGAAAAGTAGCCAGGGGTACTGACAATAACTGTAAAGAGTTACTCATCAACATTAATAGTAAGCTGGGGAGCTGGCTTATCCAGGGGATTGAACTCCAGACCTCGTGAGTGGACAGTTAAGCACCCTACTGACCGAGCCATCTCCAAGAATTTTGCTGGCTAGATTATCTGTCCAGTCCCATAATTTAAGCCTTCACATTTCTCCTTAAATGGCAAACAAGAAGCACTGTAAATGCAGAAAGACTGCCAAAGAAAAGAGTCTGTGACAAACAGGGCCCAGATCTCCAACACCCACATAACCGCCAGGCTGTGTGCTGAACCTTGGGAGGGAGAGACAGGGGCTCCCCTCAGCAAGCTGATTGACTAGACCAGCCAAATCAGCGAGCTCTAGGTTCAAGTGAGATGCCTGCTTCAATGTATAAGGTGTGAAGCAATCTAGAAGGCCCTAGACATCAAGATCTGGCCTTTTATATGTGGACACACAAACAAAAGCAAAAAGAAAGAAGAGAGAGAAAAAAAAGAGGTGGCTCATCCATAAATAAATATACTTTAAAAGACTTATTTTTATTTCAGGTTGTGTGGGCATGCAAGCAGGAAAGAACCCTCAGAGGTCAGAGCTGTCAGGTTCCCTAGAGCTGGAGTTCCTGGCTCCTGGGAGCCTGTGGTTCTGGATGCTGGGAATCGAAATCAGGTCTTCTGAACGAACAGCAAGTGCTCTGAACCACTGATCTCTCTCTCTCTCTCCAGCACTAAAGTAATTTTTAAATGTCATTTTTATTTTAAAAAATTAATATTTTAACATATATTTTTTATTATTTATTTTTATTATCTAAAATGTCTGTATTAGTTTGTTGTGTAGGTTTGTGCACGTGAGTGCAAATGCCCTCAACGGCCAGAGGCCTTTGTAACACCCCTGGAGATGGTGTTACAAGCACTGTAAGTTGCTCTACGTAGGTGCTGGGAATCGAACTTCTGTCCTTTACAACAGCCGCATGTGTTCTTAACTGGTTACTAACGTCACAATGCCCCTAAGAGAGACCCCTGCGGTCTTACCACAGGAGGAAACACAAACAAAACGAAACAAAACAAACAAACAAAAAAAACCCAACCCTCACAATGAAGTGTCGTTTCAAAAAGGAAAAATTTGAAAAGGAAATCGTTGGCACCTCCGGAAATTGCGGAGCACTCTGGGTCCTCAGTCGGCAGCCCACGCGGGATGTAGGGTCCGGTTTACTCAAGACTGCGGGGCCTTTAAGGGGCGTGGCGGGGGCGTGGCCCCAGCGGGCGCCCGCTCTCCCAGGCTGCCCCGCGCGCGACGGCAGTTCGGCCACGTCCCTGGCCACGTCGCGCCCGCTCCCGCCATCTTTCGCCGCTTCCTCTCTCAGGGGCTGTCGCCGCGTCCTGAGTCGCTGCCGAGCCCCGGGGCCGCCGTGCCGCGCCGACCGCCGCCGCCATGAACATCTTCCGGCTGACTGGGGACCTGTCCCACCTGGCGGCCATCGTCATCCTACTTCTGAAGATCTGGAAGACGCGCTCCTGTGCGGGTGAGCGGCCGCCGGGGCGAGGCGCGTGGGGCAGGAGCGCCCGGAAGGACCCATTCGGCCCTCGGCGGCTCCAGTGCCTGTGCGGGGCTTGCGGTGGCCGGACACACCCCCTTCTGCTGGCCCGGCGGGCGTCGGAACCCCGCCCGGTGTGCTCTCGGGCTGAGGTGTCCGGCGCAGCTCTGGGTCCCCCGTTCTGCGCTCGGTCCGCCCGCGAACTTGCTCCGTCCGGGCGCGGACAGCGCTAGCGTAACTGCCCCCGGGTCCTGCTGGATCTGAAAAGTTCAGGCCGGGATCTGTGGGGCTCTGGTAGGCGTGTCCCTCTCCTTGGGCTTTTTGGGGAGCCCCTGAGTCCTCGGGAATCAGTGGGAGACTTGCTCGGGGAGGATGGGTAGGACTGCGGGCGAGCAGGGCCTGACGTGGCAGCCAGGCCACCCGCGAAGGTGGGGCTGGCTGGAGGAAAAGGGCATCCTGCAGTTCGTCCTGTTCTCTTCAAGGACTGGAGCAGGGGATGGGGTGGGGGAGGCAGGATGGTGTAGGATCAGGCCTGTGCTTACACCTGAATGAGCTACAACTGGAGTCCTGGGGTTCGCCCGTCCTAAAAAGAGATGTGAGTCCTTTAAGTGACTTGCTTGGCTTAGCTTCATGCTACTTTGAGAAGCAAACTGGTTTTGTGTTTTTTGTCGTTGTTGTTGTTTTGTGTTTTTGTTTTTGTTTTTTTTTTAATTCTTGAGTGCGGCCGTCTAATAACTGGTCCTCTTACCACTGCCAGCGCTGGGTACCACAGACACCACGTCACCAGTGAGTTGGCCCTGGACCTCCCCCGAAGTCCGTGCCTATTTCATTTGAGTATTGCAGAGAGGCAGTAGAATGAACGTTCCTCACCTAGTAGCTGTGGATTTCTGCATTTCATTAAATAATAGGAATCTTCCAAGTTTTAGATAATTTCTTAGTGAATGTGATGGTGCTTGCCTGTAATCCCAGCCCTTGAGAGGCAGAAGCCTGAGGATGAGGAATTCAAAATCAGCATGGACTATATGAGGCCCTGTCTCCAAAAACAACCCCCCCCAAAAAACCTCAATTAATTGTCTAATTAGTTAATTAAATACAGTTAAAAAGTATTGTCCTTAAACTTAATGCTATGGCTTGAAAGGAAATGGCTTTGTAAACTGAAATTTAATTTTTTTTTTTTCAGAGACAGCAGAAAAAAGGTGTCCTAAAGGACCTGGGTGATAGAGAAAAAAAACCCATCTGGCTTATTAATAAACACCACCCTTTTGACTCTGCTCTCTGAAGGTTTCCTCTCTCCCTGGAATATAGTTGCGATCCAGGAAGTAGGCATAACCAAAAAAGACCTTTGATCAGTCAAAGTAGATGTTACAAAGTTCTTGTACTGAAACTGGCCAGTTTGGCTTGGAGGTAACCTGAGAGGCTCCGGTGTGTGATCTGTAAGAGCAGCAGAGTCATTGCTTCTGTTGTGATAGGTGTGTGTTAGGTAATCAGCTTAGTGTTTCATACGGCCATCTCAGGTAGTCCTTAAACTAACAGTGTGGGCAGCTCCCTGTTCTGGGAGAGGGAACCGAGGCTCAGGGAGATAAGCAAGGTTTTGATGAAGCCAGGATTGAAACATAAGTGGTAATTAGTAATTGGGGATTTCAAATTAACACTTGCTTTGGCCTCAGCAGTTTTAGTCTGCACATTTGATGCCAGTGGCTTAGGTATTTTTGTTGTGTTCCGCTCGGATACTACTTTTAGTCTGTAGCTTTCTTTCAAAATCTCTGTGTCTCTTCATCATCTTTCTTATGTTCTTCTGCCAAATAAAGATGTATTTTGTTTTTAGTTGTGTGACTGCTGGTTCCTGTGCAAGCCAGAAGAAGACATCATATTCCCCTGGACCTGGAGTCACAGGCAGTTAGGAGCTGCCCAATGTGCTGAGAACTCACCTCAGGTCTTTTTCAAGAGCAGTACATCCTCTTAATGGCTGGACCATCTCTCCAGCCCCCAGAAATAGAAGTTTGTTTGTTTATTCTTTGTGTGCCTGTGTGAGTTTACCGCAAGTGCAGAAGCCCCTGGAGACCAGAGAGGGTTTCAGATCCTCTGGAACTAATGTTATAAGCAGTTATAAGCCACCATGTTGTTGTTGGAAACTGAACCCAGGTAGCCTGCAGGAGCAGCAAGTGACCTTAACTGCTGAGTTGTCTCTGTAGCCCCCATAAGTAGAATTCTTTTTCTTGTTGTTTTTGTTTGTGTGCTTGTTTATTTTTGTTTTTTAAGACAGGGTTTCTCTGTGTAGCCTTGGCTGTCCTTGGCTTTGTAGACAGGCTGGCCTGGAACTCAGAGATCTGCCTGCCCCTGCCTCCCTTAGTGCCGGGATCACAGGTGTGAGCCACCACACCAGGCTTATAAGTAGAATTCCTTTTTTTTTTTTTTTTTTTTTTTGGTTTTTTTTTTTAATATACAATGTTCTGACTGCATGTACACCGGAAGAGGACACCAGGTCTCATTATAGATGGTTGTAAGCCACCGTGTGGTTGCTGGGAATTGAACTCAGGACCTCTGGAAGAGCAGCCATTGCTCTTAACCTCTGAGCCATCTTTCCAGCCCCATAAGTACAATTCTTAATGGAACTTTAAGCAACAAGGAAAAAGGAAGTGGGGTTGCTATTTAATATTCATTGTTTTCATGGGAGATTAGAGCATTAAGGAAAACAGTATTTTGGCTGAATTGCCAAGATGAGAAAGTAAATGGGTAAGCTAAGTTCTTATGTGCTTCTCAAGTATCTCTTGGATGCTTACACTGTCCTCACTCTTCAGACTCAGGAACCTCTTCATTCTGCTATATAAAATACCCTGACCTTTCAAAGGTGAAATTCACCAAGATCTTTATTCAGATGAAATGCTCACTTGTTGTAGTCGCTCTGCTTTTCATGCTGACTAAAAACAGTTGTTTAGAGACTTGAAAAAGGAAGAACTTTGATCAGAGTTTCTTAGATATCTGGAACCGGAGCCATGTCTGTCCAGGTGATGGTTCTCATAAAATCGGAGCTCACATTAGGGTGTCAATACCAGTGCTGAACACTTGAGCAGCCCCTAAACCACAGGACATCTTCCCTAAGGGGAAGATGAGGCAGGCTAGTAAGGAAGCTGGACAGTGCATATTGAGCAGTCAGTGCTGCCGCAAACTTGGAATCCTGTTTCAGCCTCCCAAGAGCTAGGACTGCAGGTGCCTGGACACTCCAGGCTTTAAGGACCTGGTTTATAGTCGGGGGCAGTGAGGTGGTGTATTTTGAATATAAACTCTGTGGCTGTATCTGTTGTCACTACAGAGGGAAATGTCAGTGAGGTATAGAGAGTGTCTTCTGTTCCTGAACTGCCAGGCAGCATGATGGTCAAGCTGTCTCTTTTAGGGTGTCGCTTTTTTGTCCTATTCCCTTATCTACAGTACCTTGGAAAAAGAAGCCATGATATCTACTTATTTATGGTACTGGAATTTGAACCCAGGGCCTCTGTGAAGTCAAGCAAGTGCTCTACCAGCTAACTTTTCCTATGGGCTGACAATCACTGTCAGTGCTGTGCACTGCATTAAAATGACTAGGGTCCTGAGACCCGTGACCTCCAGCTGCCTCTTAAGTTCACTTTCCTTTCCTTCTAGCCATTATGTAGGTTGTAAACCCTTCCACCTATCAAACTTGTCAGGAGCAACTGTCCCTGTAATTCACATAGCTGAGTAGTTTTTATATTTGAAGCAAATAGAAAACACTTTTTCTTTCTGGTATTGGGGATTGAACCTAGGACCTTGTGACCTTGTGCATGCTGGTTAAGCTCTTATCCTTAGCACTGTATTTTCCAATGGTAACTCTTATTTTTGTTGTCGTCATCGTAGCTGAGTATTTGAAGTTTTTGTATCACATTCCTAGCTTCCTAGAGCTGTTTCCTCTGTTCCTTTGAGGACTAGTCTCTCAGTAATCATGTCATGCATTGATTGGCCACTCTGTGTGCACAGCACTGAGACAACGAAGAGCAGCAGATGGCAGCGAAGTTTCTGCTCTCAAAGCTGCAATGGCAGAACCCTTGGTTCTCTACCTGCATTTTATGAACTGGGTGTGGCAATGCACGCTGTATCCTGGCATTCTAGAAGAGATAGGAGACCTAGGAGTTCAAAGCCTTCTTTGGCTGTGAAGAACCTCGACAGAATAAAAATGACGCTGCGGTGGAAGCAGCTTAATCTAACGTGAGGCGTGGGTTTGAGCCTTAGCATTGCATAAAGAAAGGTGCAGGCAGGTCAAGTGAGATGGCAAATCGTGTGAAGAGATACAGACATAGGAGTCAAGCCATAAGGGCAATGACTGAATGTGAAGTGGAAGAAGACTCCAAGGACACCTCCTGTGTCTCCCCAACAAGAAGTGTAAAGACTGCCGAGGAAAAGACTGAATATGTAGCCAAAGATAACCGTGAACTTCTTATTGCCTCCACCTCAGAGTGTTGGGATCACAGGCATACATTGTCGTGCCCAGCTTATGGAATACTGGGTTTTGTGTTTGCCAGCCAAGCACTCTTATCACTGAGCCACAAAGCACTGTCTGTAGATAGGAGATGTTTGTGTAGAATTTCTAACAACAAAAACTAAACAGGGTCATGCCTGAAGCTCACTTGCTGTTCAGAGTTCAGTTCTCAGCACCCACACAGGTGGCTCACAAACTACTGGTAGCTCCAGCTCCAGGGGCTCTGATGCCCACTTCTGTCCTCCATGAACACGCACACAAATACACACACACACACACACAAATAAAACCTGGAAAATATAGAAATCTACAAAAATAAGTGTAAATCTAGGAAAAATTATAAATAATTCACGTGTCCAATGGTCTTAATTTTTGTTATGTCTACACTGGAATATTGCAGACATTAGACAGGATGGAACCAAAAATGTGTGTTTTTGTAGCAGGAAGAGATGATTCCAAGATATGAGTTTGCAGAACAGGTTGTAAAACATAAGGTTACTTTAAAGGGTAAAAATATATATGGTACACATCCAAACACAAATGGAAAGGGGACTTTTAAGTGGCTGGAGAGGAGGCTCAGCAGTTAAATCACCTGATATTCACTTCCCAGCACCTACGTGGGGGCTAACACTGATCTGTAACTCTAGCTGTAGGGAGTCTGACTGCTTCTGGCCTCCACAGGTGCCAGGCACTAATACACATAAAACTAAATCAGTTTTTTAAAAGGAGGGCCCTTAAAACAGCTCACACAGTTATATTTAAAATGAAGATGGAAGGCTGAAGACTAGGATCGAAGAGATGGCTGTCATTGAGAGCACTTTCTGCTTTTCTAGAGGACTCAGGTTTGGGTCTGATACCCTCTTCTGACCTCTGAGGGCACCTGTACTCATGTGTACTTAACCCACAAGCAAAGATATGCACAATTAAAAGTAATAAAGATAAATCTTTTAAAAGAGAGAGAAGACCTTATACTCATTGTTTTTGTTTTTTGACACAGCATTTCTCTGTGTGTAGCCTTGGCTGTCCTAGACTCCCTTTGTAGACCAGGCTGGCCTGGAACTCACAGAGATCCTCTTGTCTCTGCCTCCTTGAGTATTAAGATTACAGGCATGTGCTACCACCACACCTGGCTTAACCTTACACTTACTCTATGTTTTAACCTGTTTGAAAAATTTTAATGATTGGCTTGGATTTAAAAAAAAATCCAGCAAAATAGTATGTAGGAAGAACTGTCATTTCTCAAGTATTCACAAAAGCATGTGTACTATAAAGCACTCTCCTCTTCTTTTCAGTACTCCCAATAAGTTAGTGTAATGTGTCCCTCCTGACAAGTGTAGAAAATGGAATTAGGGTGGCATATAATAGGTCCAGCCTTACCCTTCACCCCAACTGAGCTTGTACATAGACCCTCTGGTTCTGGTTTCCACATCTCTCTTCCTGCTGAGAATCTAACCCAGAGCCTTTCTCATCCTTGATTGGGTTTTTAAGACAGAAGGTACCAGCTACCACGTAAAACCTAGGCTGGCTTTGAACTCTGATCTTCCTGTCTTAGCTTCCTGATTACAGACAAGCTTGGATTGCAAGCTTGTTCTGCCATGCCTGGCTCTGAGACAATTCTTTTTTTTTTTTGTTTGTTTGGTTTTATTTATTTCATTCTTTTGTTTTATTTTTTGATCCTTTTCTTTTTTAATATATAATTTATTTAACTTTATTTTATGTGCATTGGTTTAAGGGTGTCAGATCACCTGGAACTGGAGGTACAGACAGTTGTGAGATGCCATGTGGGTGCTAGGGAATTGAACCTGGGTCCTTTGGAAGAACCGACAGTGCTCTTAACCACTGAGCCGTGTCTCCAGCCCCTCTGAGGCAATTCTTAAGTAGTGAGTTGTGGAGCCCAGGGTCAGGTCATGAGTTTTAAAAGAATGCCCAAACTGGTGGCAATGCACACTTGTAATCTTAACACTTGGAGAGGTGGAGGTAAGAGGATGAAGACTTCTAAACCAGTTTTGACTCCACAGCAGATTCAGGGTCATCCTGGGCTATTTGTCTGTCCCTACCAAAAGAAAAATATATTCTTAGATTTATTTTATGTGTATGAGTGCTCTATCTGCATATATACCTGTGTGCAAGAAGAGGGTACCAGATCACGTTATAGATGGTTGTGGGCCACCATGTGGTTGCTGGGAATTGAACTCAGGACCTCTAGAAGAGGAGACCGTGCTCTTAACCACTGAGCCATCTCTTCAGCCAGAAAAGATAGTTTTAAAAAAATAGGAATATCCAGATGCTTTGAGAGAATCTTAGTGGTACAGCTTTTCCAGGTGGCTCGACCCACATTGCTTGGTGGCATCCCTGCTGGTACTAGAATCTCGTTTGCTTGGGTAAGGCATCTGTTCTATAAACAGGAATGTCAGAAACCCAACTTTGAACCTTGGTTGTAATTTAAAGTCCTGTGGGCCCAAGTGTGGAGACATGTGCTTACTGAGCTTAGTGGAGAAAGGCAAGAATGAGCGATACTCACCTGGCAAGTTTTGCTCTTGACTAGCTGTCAGGTGCATTTGGTACCAGGATGTCTGTGAAAGCTGACAGAGAGTGTTCTGTGAGTGCTTGTTACATGCTCGCCTTGGAGCTTTGTGGCCCAAGATCAGGCTGGTATTGCCTGAGATGATAGCTCAGTAGTAAGGTGCTTGCCTGACATGAGGCCCTGGGTTTGCTCCTCGGGACTGCAGGTGGGTAGACAGAGAGAGAAAGATCAAATGACTGCAGATTCATCAATAGGCAAAAGGTAGCAGGAGATTCATGCCAGTCCCTCTCCTGTCTTGAGCTTCAGATTGCTTCCTTAGGTGAAGATGAGACACCTTTTCAGTGGTGGAGAGAAAAGCTGCCACTTGCTAGGGAGAATAGTCGCTGCATCCTGTAAGCATCTTAGATTCCCAGATGCTAGTTCTTGTGTGGATTCCCATGGCACAGACTGCCTGGCCTCTCCTCGGCTCAGCCAGGGAGACTCACTCCTCTGGCTGGCAGTAAATTAGTGCAGGGCCCGGAGCGTATTCTCTGTCTACCGTCCTAGAGACACAGTACAACTCGGATTCTTGGCAAGTTTCATCTGGCATAGCACACAGTGAGACTTTGCCCATGACATGAAGATGAAGCGAATTACATTTTCTTTTGAGCATGTGTTTTTCTGGACCCTGCTATGTGTCAGGTGTAGTGGGCAGCACAGGAAATACTGAATGCAGTGAGGCATAACTTCCACAAGAGAGTCTCTCTAGTGGAGGTTTGCATAGGGTACAGGAACCAGATCATCAGACTGTGCGAGAGTGTGTGAGGCCAGAGGAGCAGCTCACCTGAGCTGTTTGCCTTCCGCCGTTTTTGAGACACTGTCTCTTTATTCTCCACTGCATAAGCCAGGCTGTCTGGTCTGTGAGCTTGCAGGGATTCTCCCGTCTCCACCCCCCACCTCTCAGTAAAAGTGCTGTGATCCCAAATGCTTGCTACTCTGCCTGGCTTTGCATGGGTTCTGGGGGTCCTCTCACTTGCATGACGTGTGGTTGCTCTGCCGAGCCAGCTCCGTGGCGTGTCTTAAGTCTGTGGGGAAGCCAAGGCAGCAGCTGGTGTGAAGTACCTGCTGAGTGAATCAGCAGCGCCAAGGCAGGGAGTCTCCATGTCCCCGTGGAGGTGATGGTTCTTTAGTTGGGTCTCAGGGCAGTCAGTGGTGAGCTGACTTGGCTTTTAGTGCAGGAATGCTGAAAGCGATTTTAACTGGTGCCAAAGCCCCATTGGAATAAACCCATTTTTGGCAAAATGCTTGTCTTTTACTATTTTATTGAAAATACTGGAAAGAACCATATAGCAAATGAAGTGGAAAATTCTCAAGGCTTCACTAGACATTTTGTAGGACCTGTCTGCTGCTTTTGTCTCCATCGTGTTCTCACTCCAGTGTTTAGTATCTGCCTCGACGTTTGTCCTCTGGAACATTAATCTCTGATAGAAAGCGGTCCCCATATCTGAGGAAAGCAGTCAGCAGCAGATTGGCTGCCCAGCTCTGCCCTCCCTGCCCATTGGAGGAAGCAGAGTCAACTTTTCTTCTTTCCAATGAGGAGTTTTTGGAAGGAGCTTATTACTCATGGTGAGGAAGTGCTTACCGGCAGGCTGTACTTTCTGTAAGCCGTCAATGACCTGAGAGCATCAGCGTGCACACGCCTTTTTCCACAGAGTGGAGTGAGGGAGGGTGAGGTGAGATTTCTACTGGGTCCATGCTCAGCGCTTCATAATGGGTAGCGTGCCCTGCGGGTGGTTCGGTTCCGACAGCAGTCACCTTCCAGTTATCATAAATTGCTCAGTCCATACCATCTTGAAATTCACAGAGCCTGTGTGCAGATGTCGGTGTCTGAAAGGTCACCTGTACAGTTGTGTTCTGGTCTCCCCCGTGTGGGCTGTGCTGCCGTACTCAGCGGGTGGGAACAGGGTGGACCAGTTTCTGTTTTGTATTGTTTTGAGTCAGGGTCTCGTGTGTAGCTCAGGCAGGCCTTGAACTCAGGCGTCTTGCTTCCCAAGTGTAGGATTTCAGGCTTGTGCTAGCATAGCCAGCATGTGAAGGTCAAGACAGCGGGATGCCGAACAGCAAGCAGCTGTTTGAGCTCCGTCTTCAGAGGGCACATGTGCATGTCTGGGAGTGTTGGCCAAGTTCAACCGAGTCACTTTCCTACCATCTTCGACCCTAGAAGGACAAGTTGAGAAACCCAGAAGGAGTGTTACAAGAAAGGAAAACTGATTTTCTCTGGCTTAATCAATTGTCCCCATACTGGGCCTTTGACCCCAAGTACCCTTTTTCCCTGCGGCACTTTCTGTCCAGGGTGATGTCCGGAGCCAAAGTTCTTCCCCAAGACAATTCTAATGCTCACCTTTTGTTTCCTCAGGCATTTCTGGGAAAAGCCAGCTTCTGTTTGCACTGGTCTTCACAACTCGTTACCTGGATCTTTTTACTTCATTCATTTCGTTATATAATACGTCTATGAAGGTACAGTATGACATTAACTCCAATGCATTTTATTGTATAATATGTCTATGATGGTATAATGGGATATCAGCTCCAGTGCATTTTTTTTATGTCTACGAAGGTATGGTATGACATCAGCTCCAGTGCATTCATCCACCATGTGCACACCTGTGGGAACTGTTAGCTTTTTTTTTTTTTTTTTTTTTAAAATCTCCCAAGTTGGTAGGTTTGCTTTTTTTTTATTTTTTTTTTTTTTTTTCATTTTCAGTATGTGTATATGTAAACTCAGACATGCATGTGCTGTGATACTCTTGTGGCCAGAGGGCACTTTTGGGGAAAAGTTCTCTTCTTCCACCCAACTTGGGTTGTCAGGCTCAGTTGGCAAGGGCTTTACCTACTCAGCCATCTCGATGGTATGTTTGTGTATGTGTGTCCTTCTATCTCCCTGTAGAGGGTTGAACTTTTTTCACACATCTGCAGCGCACCTTTCTCAGATGACTGTGTACGGAGTATTTTTCCATAGAGACCACTGGGCATACTCTACTTTTGTGTGTGTGTGTGTGTTTTTCTTCTGTTTTTGTTGGTTTTTATTCGTTATAACTTAGGGGTTTCGTTGTGACATTTGTACACATGTACATGATGTATTTCAGTCAGAGTCACCCCATTGCACTCTCTTGCCCCCTTCTGCAATCCCTCACCTCTTCCCCTTGCTCTTCCAAACCAAATCCCCGTCTGCTTTCAAGTGTTTGTGCTCTCTTTTATTGGATGGTGCTGGGAACTGACTCAGGCCCTCAGCTTCTGCAAGCGCGTTACAGCATTGCTCCAAGAATGTGGTTTGGAGCCCCCTCTCCCCAACACTTTGAGTTTGAAAGTATCTATAAGTTTAGGGTAGTGGGTATGCAGTGTTTGGGTTTATGATCTTTGCTAAAAAAACAAATTTGAGGGCCAGTAAGGTGGCTCAGTAGGCATGGGGCCTTGCCACCAAGACTGACAACATGAATTCACACCAGGGGACTCACTTGGTGGAAGAAGAGAACCAAGTCCAACAAGCTATCCCTTAACTGCCACACATGCGCCCACATACGTACACAAAGACATATACCAAATAAATAAATGTTTAAAAAATTAAGGAGAAAAAACAAGTTTGAGTCACCTGTAATCATTGGGTTCTGAACTCTAGTAATCAGGAAATCAGCTGCCTTAAAAATGGCTAGATTAAGCCAGATGGTGGTGGCATACACCTTTAATCCCAGCACTCAGGGAGGCAGAGGCAGGTGCACCTCTGAGTTTGAGGCCAGCCTGGTCTACAGAGTGAGTTCCAGGAGAGCCAGAGCTATACAGAAACCCTGTCTCAAAACAACAACAACAACAACAAAGGCTAGGGGAACAACTCAGTCTGTAAAATGCTTCTCATGTAAGTGTGAGGACCTCAGTTTGATCCCCAGCACCCATATAGTTTGGGCATGGCAGCACCCACTTATAATCTCTGCTCTACAGAGGTGGAGACAGGAAGAGCACTAGAAAAAATAAAAATAAATAAAAAAGAGCACTAGAGCTCGGTGTCCTGCCAGCCTAGCCTATTGCTGAGTCCCTTATCTCAAGGAACTTTGGCTGGAGAGAGTGCAGCGTTGAAGAGTACATGCTCCTCCTGTAGAGAGCCTGAGTTTAATTCCTAGCACTCACATCAGGAGCCTTACAATGGTCTGTAGCTCCAGCTCCACGGGCTCTTTCTTGTGGCTTCTGTTGGGCATCCCTACACACATCATATACTTGCACAGACATACACATAAATAAAATAACCCATCAACAAGCAAACACCCAAGGTTGGCTTCTGTCGTACATATGCAGGTACACAAATAGACCTGGATGGATGCACATACACAGAATGGCTAGGTTTCTGTTTGTTGTCTGAGTAAGATAAGACTGCGGTGCTGGAGATGGGGAGTCAGAATCCTTTCTTCATACTGAGGCCCAGCTGTGGGTCACAGGCAGGGCCCCAGAAAGCTCCCAGCTGGGATAAGTCTAGGCTGGGTATGGTCCAGAGGTGCCTCAGTGTGGGTGCCCATAATGTGTGTGCTTTCTTCATTACACGTGCAGACCAACAATTTTAATACCATGTTGACTATTTACGGATATAAACACATAATGAGGGGCTGGGAACTGTAGTGTCGTCAAGGGCTTTTAATAAGGGCTTGGTGATTATCCTCATTTTCCCATTAAGTCATTTGCCCCAATGTTTTCCTAATTCAGTTTTTCAAGTTGTAGCCTAGGGAAAAGGAATAACTAGGCAGTGTGGTCCCTATCCCAGCCATCTCTATTCATGATTGAAATCTGCTGTTTGATTTTTAGACCTGCATGTCTGCAGTTTACAAATTGATGTAATTTCAGAATTTCAGGCTTTTCCTTGGGGCTGGGTGACCTTTTGAAGATGAAAGATCACAGGACTCAGTTGTGAGCCCTCGAACAGTCCTTTTGCTCTATACAAAATGCTGCTGTCTTGGAGGCAGAAGTGTCTGGGGAGATGGCCTTTCAGTTAAGAGCACTTGCTGCTTTTGCAGAGGCCAGGAGTTTAGTATCCGGCACCCACAGCGGCCTGTGGTTCCGGCTCCAGGGGACCTGATTCTGTTTTCTGGTCTTTGCATGCATATAAATGTTTGTGCGTACACACACATATTACATAAATCAAAAATAAAATAAATTTTGGAGCTGAAGAGATCACTCATCAGTTAAAATGTTAAGTTCATACTGCTTTTTACAAACTTTTTAAGACTTATTTTATGCATGTGTGCTTTGGCTATATTTATGTAAGTACACCACATGTGTGTCTAATGCCAGAGAGATCAGAAGAAGGCACTGGATCCCGTGGGGCTGGAATTACAGATAGTGGTGAACTGCCACATGGGTGCTGGGAATTGAAGCCAGATCCTGCAAGAGAGCAGCCGTGTTCTTAACCAGGTCCCCGCCCGGGCTGCTCTTACAGAGGACACCAGTTCGGTTCCCAGCACACATCTTGTTGCCTGTCACTTCAGCTCCGGGGAGTCTGATACCTCCTGGTCTGCAGGCAGTACACGAAAGTGCACAAACTCACAGTCAGACCCAGGCTCATAGTAATTAAAAATAACATCTGGTTAAAAATAATGGTAAGGGCTTCTTCCTCGGCGCTACCTACGAGGTGGCTGCCATCTGTTTTGAGGCAACATGGCTGCCCTCCGGCCTCTGGTGAAGCCCAAGATCGTCAAAAAGAGGACCAAGAAGTTCATCAGGCACCAGTCAGACCGATATGTAAAAATTAAACGGAACTGGCGGAAACCCAGAGGTATTGACAACAGGGTTCGGAGAAGATTCAAGGGCCAGATCCTGATGCCCAACATTGGTTATGGGAGCAACAAGAAAACTAAGCACATGCTGCCCAGTGGCTTCCGGAAGTTTCTGGTCCACAATGTCAAAGAGCTGGAAGTGCTGCTGATGTGCAACAAGTCTTACTGTGCTGAGATTGCTCACAATGTGTCCCCCAAGAACCGGAAAGCCATCGTAGAAAGAGCAGCACAGCTGGCCATCAGAGTGACCAATCCCAACGCTAGGCTGCGCAGTGAAGAGAATGAGTAGATGGCTTGTGTCCGTGTTTTATTTGTGTTTAAAATAAAACCACAAAAACTGCCAAAAGAAAAAAAAAATGGTAAGGACAGATGGCTCAGTGGATTAGGTCATGTGTTGCCCTTGCAGAGGACCTGAAGTCTGTAACTCCAGTCCAGGGACGTCAATCCCTTCTGCCCATGGAGAGCACCAGACAGGCATATGCAGTGTGTGTGTGTATGTGTATGCAGACAAAACACTTACAACATTTAAAAATCTAAAATAAATAATCTTCAGATAAACAGACAGAAGTAACTTTTGGCTTTTCTTTGTTACAATACCTGACTGAATTTTAAAGCAACAATCCAAATATTTATTGTCAAAATAACACAGTGTTCGAAATTTTTTTATGTTCATTTATTTTGTGTACGTCTATGAGTGTAAGTTTAACCTGGATTACAGTGTTTTTTTTTTTTTTTTTTTTTTTTAAAAAAAAGCTAGTCAAAGGAGCATTGGCCAGAAGTCCTTGGTTCAGAGCGGCACTGAACTTTGCATTCTTTCCCTCTAAAGCTGCACTGTTGTAGCTTAAGATGAGGTTAAAGCCTATCTGTTTGAAAGTTCCTTATAGTTTTAAAACATATGCTTAAGATTTGCTCCAGCTAACCTATTTGTAGCTATAAATGCAAGAAAAATGAAGCATATATTCACACAAAGGCTTTAACATGTTTACAGCAGCTAGTCACGAGCTTCCAACAGGAAATAGGTCACCCCCCTTTAGCTGGCGAATGAGTAAGCAGACTTTGATGCACCTGTGTTCCCTCCTCTGCCCAGCCCAGTGGAGGAAATGGGCTAGAGGTAACGGCTCGGTGGATAAGAGTGCTTGCTGCTCAATCGTGAGGCCTGGAGTTCAAATCCCAGCACCCACATTTGGCAGCGTGCACCAGGTTGTAACTCCAGCTTTAGGGGATCTGCTGCCCTCTTCTGGTCTCCGTGGGGACATTCGCACACATATGCATACAGAAATAAAAAAAAATTGTGTTGATCTCTAAAAAAGAGGGAAATTACTAATGTATGTAGCGGCTTCAGCTAGCTCTTAGTCACATTGTGCCATCTGAAGAAGCCAGGTTTGAAAAGCAATGTGTTGTTTCACTTCACTCATGTGCCATTCCAGGAGAGGCAAAGCTGTGAGCAGAACAGGAGGGGCCAAACTAAAGCCTTGAGAGGACTTAATTACAAAGAAGCAACAGGGTAGGATTGGGGGTGACAGAACTGCCCTGTATCCTAATTGTGGTGGCTGTGTGACTCAGGAGTATGCACATGCACAAGCCAAAAGTAGGTGAGAGTATGTGTGCGTTTGTATGTGCGTGTGCGTGCGTGTAAGTGTAAATTGTACTACCTGGGTGGTAGCGATGGTGTTTAGAAACAGTTGCAGTGTGCCGCTAACCAGGCGTCTCTCTTTTGTCTAGCTTATCTACATTGCCTGCTCCTATGCCACCGTGTACCTGATCTACATGAAATTTAAGGCCACCTATGATGGAAATCATGATACCTTCCGAGTGGAGTTTCTGGTGGTTCCTGTGGGAGGCCTCTCATTTCTAGTCAATCATGACTTCTCTCCTCTTGAGGTTGGTTAAGGGATTATTTAGTGGTGACATCTGGGTCCCTACATAAAAAGACCTGTGACAGAAATGGATTCTTATTGGTTTGTTTTCCTCTCTTTGTCTTTGCTGTTTGACAGACTCCTGGTATAGTATACATAGATTGGTAGATCGGAATTAAACCACCCAGCCACTTGGGTATCTGTTGAGTTTATTGCTGGATGTTCCTCCAAATTAAGCCTGGTGTGGTACATGCCTGTCACCCCAGTACTTGGGAAGTAGAGACAAAAGGATCAGGGGTTCAATGTCACCCTCGGTTATATAGTTTGAGGCCAGTGTGAGTTATATAAGACCTTTTCTTAGCAAAGAAAGCAGGGCATGAGAAGAGCATGTGGACATACAGAGCCAGTGCTCCTTGACTTCCGACGGAGTACGGTGGCGTGGCCATTTGTTGATAAACTTGTTAGCTGAAAAAACAATTACTATAGCTGGCTTACCAACCCAGCACATTGTAGACGGTTGTTTCCTGTTGATGCAGGTGAGGCCCTGGGTGACCGGCTGGGCAGCACATTGCTGCCCAGAGCCACAGTGTAGCCCACAGCCCCAACAGGTGAACATTTAAGTGTGCTTTCCATTTAGTGTAAGGCAGAGCCATCTAGAGCGAAAAGTACAGTCAGTTGGCGGAGAGTCAGTAGAAAGCAGGATGGGTTGGGGACCCAGGATCTAGGGTGGGACAAACCCACTCAGGAACATCTATGTGGATTCATGGTAGTCAAGATCATGATAGTTTCCAGCTTACCCAGCTCATCAAGCCTCTTGCATGCTGTTGGCCACACTGTCTTTTTTTTTTTTGAATAGTTAAAATGCTTTATTGTATACAGCTGGGATGCAATAAAACATTTTTTTAATTATTAGTTACATTTTATTAACTCTGTATCCCAACTGTATCCTGTTCCCTCATTCCCTTCCTCAGCTGCTCCCTGCCCCTTTCCAAGTCCACTGATAGGGGGGGACCTCCTCCCCTTTCATCCGACCCTGTTTTATCAGGTATCTTCAGGGCTGGCTGCAAAGTCCTCCTCTGTGGCCTAGGAGGACTGCTCCTCCCTTAGGGGTTGGGGAGATCAAAGGGCCTGCCATTGATTTCCTGTCAGAAATAGTCCCTGTTCCCCTTACTATGGGAACCCAATTGGTTACTGAGCTACCATGGGCTTCGTCCGAGCAGAGGTTCTAGGTTATATATATACATGGTTCTTGGTGGAGTGTCAGTCTCAGAAAAGACCCCTGTGCCCAGATATATTTGGTCCTTGTGGAGCTCCTATCCTTTCCACGTCATACTAACTCCCCTTCTTTCATATGATTCCCTGTACTCTGCCAAAGGTTTGGTTAAGACAGTAGACAGTATCTGCTTTGAAACACTGCTAGGTAGAGTCTTTCAGATGCCTTCTGTGGCACCCTGTCTTGTATGGGGTGGCTGGTTGCTCCTCCCAGCTGAAGCCAACCTCCTGTCTTTCAGATCTTATGGACCTTTTCCATCTACCTGGAGTCCGTGGCCATCCTTCCACAGCTCTTTATGATCAGCAAGACTGGCGAGGCTGAGACCATCACCACCCACTACCTCTTCTTTCTGGGCCTCTACCGGGCTCTGTACCTCGTCAACTGGATCTGGCGTTTCTACTTTGAGGGGTTCTTTGATCTCATTGCTGTGGTGGCCGGTGTCGTCCAGACCATTCTCTATTGCGACTTCTTCTATCTGTACATTACAAAAGGTAGGTCAGTACTCCTGCAGTCTTAGGAGTGGCCTCTGTCAAGGCTTGCTGGCCCAGCTGCCTTCTTGGCACACTGTTAAACCACAAGAGCACTTGGCTTGGCTGTAGCTTTCATGGTTTCAGCAAGTGGTGCATTTTCATTGCAAAAAGTCTGCTTGGGCTGAAGCTGTAGCTCAGTAGGTAGAGGGCTTGCCTGGCATGCTCCACACCTTGGGTTTAAGCCTCAGCACTGCAGAAGACCAGTGCATGGTGATTCTAGCCTAGGAGGTGGAGACAGGAAGGTCAAGGGCATTCTTAGGTACATTTCCACTTGGAGGCCAGCTTGCCTGCATGAGGCTCTTCCTCCAAACAAAATAAACAGAAACCACACAGGGTTGGTCAGGACTAAACTTTCTGACAGCCACCTGAGAACGAACCACTCAGTTTCAGTAAGCGCTTTCAGTAGACAGTATCAGGTGTCTGTGCCCACAGACATGGGGTGGAAACTTCATGTGAGTCTGTGGCCTGCCCCTCCCTTCATGCCAGGAAACAGAACTTACACAGGGTTTTCTAACTCACATGTACTTTCCCAGACTCCATATGTTAGTGTTCAGGGTTTGCTGTTCCTGCCATGAAGATCCAGTGGTTGACTCAACATCCTTGTCTAGGTATATTTTACGTTTGTATAAATGTAGGACACACAGATTTTCTAGCTGTCTTATGAGAATTATCAGTGGTCCTTGCCCAGCAAAAAGATACACGTCTATGCCGATGGGTGCAGATTCCTGCAGACAGCTGAGAGCACAGACCTGGCCTTGGCTCCGAGCTAAGCAGCCCAGTTCCTAATGGTGGGCCTGCTCTTTGTCAGAGCCAATGTCTTAACTTTGGTTTTTTTCTTGAGACAGGGTCTCACTATGTAGCACAGGTTAGCCTAAGACTTGTACTCTTGCTACTAAGCCTCCTGAATGCTGGGATAGACTGTCGTTTGTGTTTTAATGTCTAATTGCAAGACACTGTTCCATAAACTATCTTGTAGGTATACTAGGAAAGCATCGAAACATGAGCTTTGAGTGACACGTTGGCACATATGTGTAATCTCAGTATTCAGGAGGCTGATGCAGAAGGATCTTGAATTTGAGGCTAGCCTGGGTTACATAACAAGATCCTGTCTCAACAAAAAGGCAAAGGGTTGGTGTCATGGCTCAGTGGCTGAGAGGGCATAGTGTCACCCCTAAGTGCAGATCTCTAGAACCGAGGCACAGCCATGCACAGTAGTGTGCATCTGGGTGAAGCGTACTGTGACAAGAGAGAAGCCGGAGACAGGGGAGTTCCCAGCAGCCAGCGGGTCTTGCACAGCAGTGAACAACAAAGGTGGAAGTAGAGGACCAACACCCTAGACTATCCTGACCTGCACACACAAACTGAGGCAACTCCTGTGCTCCCCCTCTCCATCTCCCTTCCTTTGTCTCTCTTTCTTTCACACACACACACACACACACACACACACACACACACACACACACACACACAGCAAAAGAGAACAGCTGTGAATTAAGTTGTGCTTTTGCTTACCTTTTTTTCTTCATTTATGGGTTTTTTTGTTTGGGGGGGGTTGTTTTTGTTGGGCTGTTTTTATTTCTGATTTTTTTTGAAATAGGGTTTCTCTGCATATCCCTGGCTGTCCTGGAATTCACTCTGTAAACCAGCTGGCCTCAAACTCAGATCCACTTGCCTCTGCCTCCCGAGTGCTGGGGTTAACGGCAAGCACCACCGCTGCCCAGCCTGCTTTGTGTTTTTCTGTTGTTATTTCCTTGTACTTGGGCATGTATATGAGCTAAGGACTGGGGAGGAGACTGACCTTGCCCCCACAGGTGACCTCTTGTTCTTTTCTGTCAAATCCTAGTACTCAAGGGAAAGAAGCTCAGCCTGCCAGCGTAAGTGCCAAAGACCATCAGCAGCGTCTGCCCTTCAGGGTGCTCGGACAGGGTCTCACACAGCGAAGGCGCAGGATGCTCAGTGTGGAGAAGCAGAGCCGGCTTCTTCTGCGGCAGCCGCTCACTGGTGTCTCTGCGAGGGTGCAGAGGGAAGAGACCAGGAGGCTCTGTCTACTGCATCCTGCCTTATCTTTTTTATTACTATGTACAAAGATTTTTTTACACAAAGAAACTTAACGCTGTTAATAAATTCAGTGTGTAGATGAATTGGGGCAGTTCCAAAAGTGACAATTTTGTGCAGAATAAGTACAGACCTTTTTTATTTTTTGAAAATTTGTTGAGATGATCGATTCTTTGTGTCTACAGTGAAATTATACTCCTTGACACGTGGTAGATTATCCAAACATCTGTCAAATTTCCATGCTATTTATTTTCTTTTTCTTTTTTTTTTTTTTCCAAAAGATGAGTTGTGTTTGTTTGAAATCTGAGACACTCTGTTCCATTTGATGTTTCTGTCTAAATCAGTCTTCATTGCCCTGAAGATTGTCCCTAGATGTCACAACACTACACTTAAGGTCCAGGAGGATGACTCATAAGTCCTACAGTTTCCTTACCAAAACTTCAAGGTTCCCAGTGGAAACAGTTCAACTGATGCTCACCAAATGCTCACCCTTCTCCCTGCTGAGGCGTGGCCCACAATACCCAGAGGCTCTGAGCCTCTGCCTTCTGAGTGTGGAAAGGGGTGGGGAGTTTTGGACAGAGGACTCTGCTTCTCTGAAGAATGGAACATAAATGGCTACCTGTCACTTCAGTCACAAATCCGAAGGATCACTACAACCATGTCAGCTTCAAATGTTTTTTCATAGCGCTTTTGGTGATAAAATGATTGACAATCTTTTTAATTGGCAGCACCAATTATCATTCCTTACATTCTTTTTAGGTTTTCTTTTTAACTGGGCTCTTGCATGACCTATATTGTGTTAACATCCTAAATAAACATTTTTTTTTTTAAACAGAATGAATGGTCTTTTCTATGAATTAGGCTTTGAAGATAATTTTAAGAACACTAGGGTTTTCACATTTTAACTTTTTATATGATACACTGTAGATATTAGGAGTGTTGAATTCTTGTGTTAAGATGCAGCAAAAGCTCCTTAGGGTTGCACACACTTAAGAGGCTGGAGAGGTGACTCCCTGCTTAGGCACTTGCTGTCCTTGCAGAGTTCAGTTCCCAGGACCCACATAGTGGCTCACAACTGCCTATTGCTCCAGTTCCAGGGGATCCAGCAGCCTTTTCTGGCCTTCCCGGGCACATGCATGCACGTGTGCATCCTCACACAAATAAATGACAGTCTGGACAACTATGGGGATACTGGGTTCTTCATACTGATTGTGACTTCTTCTATGACGCACCATAACTATTAGGAGTATTGAATACTTGTAATGTGCAGACTACAAGAACAAAATATTTTTGCTTCCTGCAATTAAAGTGGTTTGTGGAGGAAGAGAGTCGGGAGGGTTGTGTTTTTATTTACTGTGGGGTCTCTACACGGAAGTTGGCAATGCAACTGTAGGCTTGCCTCGGAAGCCCTTTAGACTTGGCTTCCATGCCTTGTGTTTTTGCCTTACTCGTCAGCATTCTCCCCCCTACCCCCAGCATCCTAGCTTTGGTTTCGATTCTTGAGCCTGCTTTTCTCCTCGAACAATCCCAAGTGGGGAATGGGTGGAAACTCAAGTCTGTTTGTCAAGCTCACACCTAGGTTTCACATGTAAGTGAGACACTGGCTGGGATTGGGCACACTGCACAGAACAAGGATCCAAACCCTCAGGTTGCCAGCACCTTCTGTTGTCCTGCTCCCCAAGCAGAATAAAGTTGGCAGTGGTGTCACCTGCCACTGGTGGCCGCTACAGTGACACCTTTGCAGAGTCTGGCACCTCTATCAAGAGTGTGTGACTGCACTGTGGCCTCATGAGGCGTGGCAAGATGTGGCATGTTTTTGAAGTGTGGTTTCCTAGTTAATTTTGCTTCTTAAATTAAGGTTACCAGGTAACCAACACTTTCTCTTTGAGGTTATGGGGATTTTGTTGAGACAGGTTCTCACTATGTAGACCAGGCTGATTGAACTCAGAGATCTGCCTGCCTCTGTCTTTCAGGTCCTAGGGTTGAAGACAGGTGCTATCACACCCAGCACGATATGAAAGGTTTGGGGTTTGTTGTGGCAGTTTTTAATGTAAAATAGTGCAGTTCTGGACCCAGTGTAGAGTCTAGCAACTCCAGGCATAGGATTTACTCTTGACTCTCAGTTCTGCTCGGCTCCATAGAGAAACTCCATCTGCAGGATTTCAGAGGTTTAAAAGATCCCCTGGGCCTGCAAATGGGCTCAGTGGCTAAAATTGCGTGCAGCCAAGCCTGCTGAGCTCAACCTCTGGAAGCTACCGCATGATGAAGAGTTTCCCTCTGCTTCCACACCACGGTGTGTGCCTGCCCCTCCACTTCCCCGACCCCTTCGGTGAAGCTCCCGCAGAGCTTGGTGCTCTGAAGAAACCTGCAGCACTCCTCCATTTCCCCTTCATTCTGCAGGGACAGCTGCCCGTAAAGCAATCCCTGGGCATTGCTATCGACAGCAGCTTCTCTGGCCCAGGTTAGTTTTGCTAGAAGTTTCAGAATCCTTGTTAGAAACAGGTGTGTAGGATCTGTGAGATGGCTCAGTGCGCAGAGGCGCTTGCTGCATAAGCCTGGTGGCTTGTTCAATACTTGGAACCCGTGGTAAGGTAGAAGAGAGATCCAGTTCCACAATGGTCCTCAGACCTCCATATACATGCTTTGAATGTATGCCCATAGACAGGTACACCCTATCACAATAATAAAATATTTAAATTCACATGTATAGCCGTGTAGGTATGTGTGGCTCCCTGCCGAGGCCAGAGGCATCAAAGCCTTTTGGAGCTGGAGTTACAGGGGCATATGAGTCATTTGATGTGGGTGTTGGGAATTGAATTCAGGTCCTTATCAAAAGCAGTAGCACTCTCAATTGCTGGCCCATCTCTCCATCCCCATATAAATCAAGTTGTGCAAAGGAATAGATGTGTAGAGACTGAGGGACCTTCAGCTACTATCTCTTACCTTTGATAAAGGGTAGCAGGGAACACGTGGAGTTTTGTTTTGGTTTTCGCCCCCTAGTGGTCAGCTTTGGAATTTCCGTATAGCCTGAGCTCTGAACCCTCCTTTTACTCTCCCTTCTGAGCTATACCTTTGTAGTATAGAATCTTGTGAAGGTGCTTCTCCTGTAGAGCCTGTCCCAACACTTCCCACCCCCCTTTTGTTTCTAGACAGGATCTCTTATGAATTCTTAGATGGCCTGGAACTCCCTATGTAGACCAAGCTGGCCTGGAATTCATAGCAACCTTCCTGTCTCTGTCTCGGGAGTGCTGGGACTAAAGGTCAGGTTTATAGTTCTCACTTCTTATCTCTGCAATTTAAAAGCTGGGTTGCTTTGCTAATGGTACTGGACTGTCATCCTCGTTGCTTCAGAGGCTGTGGCAGGAAGATCAGACATTTCCAGCTAGCCTGGGACACCTAGTGAAGTCCTATCTTTAAAAGTGAAATGTAGGGCTGAGAAGGCCCAGAGAGTAAGCCGCTGGAAGTAGAAGCACAAGGACCTGGATTTGAATCCCCAGCTCCCACCTAAAAGTTGGGTGTGCACTGAGGGGTATTGGGAGAGTGTGCTGGAGAGATGGCTCAGTGGTTAAGAACATACTTCTCTTCCAGAGGTCCCAGGTTCAATTCCCAGCACCCATATGGGAGCTCACAACCATCTCTAACTCCAGTCCTAAGAAATCCAGCCAGGTGTGGTGGCAAATACCTGTAATCCCAGCACTCTGGCAAGCAGAGTGGATTGTTGTGAGTTCAAGGCCAGCCTGGTCTACAAAGCAAGTCCAGGACAGCCAAGGCTACACAGAGAAACCCTGTCTCCAAAAACCAAAAAAAAGAAAAAGAAAAAAAATTTAAATTAAGGTGGCCAGGTGTGGTGGCTCAGGCCTTTAGTTCCTGCACTCAGGAGGCAGAGGCAGGTGGATCTCTGAGTTCGAGGCCAGCCTGGTCCACAGAATAAGTTCCAGGACAGCCAGGGCTACATAGAGAAACCCTGTCTCAGAAAATAGACAGGGTAGGTAGATAGATGGACGGAAGGACGGACAGACAGATAGATACGGTAGAAAGTGATAGAGACCCAAAGTTGACTTCTAGACTGCACCCACACTGTTTGGGCTTGTAGCTCGACAGTGGAGCACCTACCTAGCGTAAGCAAGGCCCTGGCTCTAGTATTGGGAGTGGACGAGAAAGGCACAGAGGCACGGACAGGGAGCGCAGGAGGGAGAAAAGCAAGCTGCAGCATGAAGCAGCACTAGCCCTTTAGAATGATCACGCACACACAGGACCACACACACCTGTGTGTGAGGCTGAACTACGCTCTAGATCTCTGGGTCTCATCTAAGACATGTTTCATTCCAGGCCAACACCACTGTCAGGGCACTGACTGAGAAGGAAAACCCAAACCTGTTTACTCATTAACTGTGACATTAAGTGTCTGCATCAAGAAAACCAGCGTGCCCTCAGACTAAAGGAGAGTTTTTAATCTCCTTTAAAGCCTGAGAACTGAGGCTGTCAGGCCTTGAAGGAACGTTTAAGCCAGGTGCGCTGGCACAGGTGGAGCCCTAAATTGGAGGCTAGCCTGGTCTACCTGAGTTCCAGGCCAACTGGGTTGACATAGTGATACCCTATCTCAAACAAACAAACAAAACCAACAACTATTTGGGCTGGCAAGACACAAATAGATGTAAACAAACAAAACTCTCCAATAAAAACATATCTTACAAAAAATAAGTAAAGTGGAAAGGGAGGGGCTATTAGAATTCCTGAATGGTTACTGTTGGGATCAGTAAGCAGGCACTTCTACGGCCAGCTCCAAGGGACCTAACCGGTTATCAGGCATTTGTGAAGACACCCTGACCACCTGGAACTACCTGCCCATGTCATGGGTCACCCTATAAGAGAACTGGAGCCCTCCCCTTCCTCCCTCTCTTCCTTACTCTCTTACTCTTTCCCTCCTCCTCTCTCCCCCCTTCCCCTAATAAACCTCCCACGTGGAACCGATCTCTTGGTGTGATTTGTGAACCCGCGTGTAACCTTCACATTCTTGAGTTTCCTAACAGTTACCTTGCCGAAAAAAAAAAAAAAAGACAATACACATGTGTGCCAACATAGGCAATTGTGGCAAAAATTAAATGCAAAGGTAGTAATTTAATCCAAGATACAGATAAGATTTTATTTGAATCAAAAAAATTCAGGCCATAGAGAAATGGAGGTAGGGAACCAATCTTCGGAAACAACAGATTAACGGCCACTTTCAGTGGCTCAGTGCTTGAAGAGTTTGCTGCACAAGCCACAAGGATCTCCACTTGGACTCCCCCAGAACCTACACAAAAGTCTGGGTGGTGTGTCCCTGTGGCTCCCCACTGTGGGGGCAGAGACAGGTGGCCTCTGGGGGCTCGGTGTCCAGCCAGTGAGAGGCCCTGTCAGAAGGTGAGGCAGACAGTGAAAAAAAGAAGAAACTTAATGTTAACCGTGGCTTGCACTTGTGTGTATACGCAGCCAATGGCATCTGCCTGTACACACACTCAGGGAGTGAGCAGGCATGCATGTGTGTGTGTGCACACACACAGTCAATTTCTCCAGGATCATAAGAAGATGTGATGAGTTGCCAAGAAAGTCTGAAAAAATAAACAACCACTTCCTGTAAATTTGCAAATAAGTATTGAGGCCAGAGGCTAACCTAAACAAAGGAGCAGGAAGGGGATCAAAGAGCTCACATTTCCCCCAGATCCATGATGAAACAAGCCACTGCTTTGTTGTTAAATCTTCATCACAGGTCTTAAGTGCCAGGAACCTTCTCTATGACATGGTTCATTATCATAAAAAAAGAAACAAAAAAAAAAAAAAAAAAAAAAACAGGAGATGGCCGCACACACCTTTAATCCCAGCACTCGTGAGGCAGAGGCAGGCAGATCTTTGTTTGAGGCCAGCTCAGTCTACACAGCAAGTCCAGGATTGTCAGGGCTATACAGAGAAACCTTGTCTCAAAAACAGAAGCAGATGGACAGAGCCCACCCTACCGTTGTTGTCCTTGATAATCAGGTGATATATATGTTCGTTTTTTTGTCTATCAGCAAGAGGGCTTTAAGTACTGTTTTCCCCTCTGACCCCTCCTTTGTATAACATGTCAGGAACACATCTGGGCAAACTCCAGCGGCAAGAACAGCATGAGGAAATAATGTTTGCTCTTGAAATTTGCTGAACTGAAAAGCATCTTGACTGTCCTGGATTTCAAGAGAAGCAGATGAGATAAGCCTGGGTTACAAAACGTGGGCCCAGAGGGAAGTGTCACCAGTGTGTGAACTCAGCTCCTGGCAAGCCTAGTGGTGAGGAGTACTATTCCAGGAAAAGCTTTCTCAAGGGAGCGAAGGAATCAGAACAAAAATGCTAGCAAATACTTCCTAGGAATGTGTTACTTGTCAAGGCCAGGTTTTCTGAGATATGCTATCATCTTCCCCCCAAACCCAGGAACACCCACCAATGCCTACAGAAAGTACTCCTACTCCTATATTTGTTTCTCAAAATAATGGACTTTGTTTTCAGATTTCTGAGTCTCAAGTAGCCCAGGCTAGCCTTGATTTTACCAGGTAGCTGAGAATAGCCCTGCATTTCTGAGCCTCTTGTCTTCACTTCCAAATGACTAGGATGTGGGGAAAGTCCCACCACATTTGGTTTACACAGTAGCTGGCGTTGGAAACCAAGACTTTGTGCGTGCTGGGCAAGCTCTCTGCCAACTGAGAGCTACACCCCTAGCCACAAGAAGGACATTTTCACAACTCCTCCATCTTCTTAATTAGTTTGAAGTCCAGATCTTAAAATTAATCCCTCCCCCCTTGCTTCACACCATCTCTTAATTCATCAGCCCATCTTACAGCAGTCAGACTTGGGCCAGAGGGAGATTAGGCACAATAAGGAGCCCAGAAAAGGAGCCCCGAGTTGTGCTGTCAGATAAGAGGGTCACAGAAGGCTTCTTTGAAATAATGACACTACCTTTGAGACCTGAATGAACAGACAGAAGTATCTGTGGGCAGTGGGAGACGTATCCAGTGGTAAAGTGCCGGCCTAGCAAACAGAGGTTAAATTTAATCCCCAGAACCAAAAATGTAAAATGGGATGTGGGAGTGGGCCGGAGAAACAGAAGAAATGCCTGTAAAAGTACCATCTTCACTAGAGGAAACGTTAAAATGTGGGGTGGAGGTCTACAGAGATGGCTCAGGAGTCAAAGCACTTAGCTGTACTAGTTTGAGGACCCAGAAACTCACACAAGTGCACGGTGGGGCGTGGCGGCACCTGTACTTACAGCCTGTGAAGGGAAGGGAAGATCCCCATCTGCAGCTAGCCAGCAAGGCCAGACACATCAGCAAGCTCTGTGTTCGGCTGAGACAACCTGCCTCCGTGAATAAAGTGGAAGAGTCACTGGGTAGGATTCTAGCTGTCGACCCCAGCCCTCCGCATGCCTGAGCACACGAGCACGCGCATCTACGCACATGCAGAAACATGCACACGCACACCACCAACACACAAAAATTGGGGAACTAAAATGAACCTAATGTGGGGGATAGCAGATAGAGGACGTAGGAACACGGACACGAATTGCAAGCTTTTGATGGAAGACTGCAAGAAAGGTGTCTGAGAAGAGCTGACACACACTTTACGCTCAAGACAGCCTTGCAAGTCTTAAACATAATTTGGACCACGGTTCACCTAGCCTTGGACTCGGCAAGTCTTGAGTCCCAGATGACAGCAAAGCCGACCCAAGCATACGTCCCAGCTCCGCTACTAGTAGGCGCGGCTCTCTGGGGAGATCACCCTCCCCAAGTCTTTCGAGTCCTCAGCTACTAAACAGAATGACCACACTGGAACGGCCTTCACACTTCTGACCCCCAGGCAACAGCCGGCAGCTGACTTCCGGGTCGGCGGGTCCGGATGGAGCCAATGCGCGTGCTCGGGCCCCGGGCCGGAGGGCGCATGCGCGAGCCTTTGACTTAGGCGTGCGCCTGCGCGCCACCGGGGTCCAGTCAGCCAGCGGATGCCGAAGGGCGCGCGCTGTTCGGGCCGGCGCGCTGGGAGGTGCAGCCATGCCGGGGATGGTGCTGTTCGGCCGGCGCTGGTCCCTGGCCAGCGACGACCTGGTGTTCCCCGGGTTTTTCGAGCTGTTCCTGCGTGTGCTGTGGTGAGTGAGGCCGCCGTGCGGGCGAGGAGGGCGCGCTGTCGCTGAGGAGGGCGACCGAAGTCGCGCCTCTCGGAGCTCACCGGGCAGCCGCGCCCTCCGAGCGGGGTCTGCCAGCGCCGAGGACGTGGGTGCCGTCGCGCTGTGCACTTGACAGGTGTCCCGGAGCTGCAGCGCTGCAGGGCACGAACGCGGGGGTGCGGCACCCAGTCCTGGCAGCGAGAGCGGGAGGGAAGCGTGAGCATCCGAAAGCCGTCGCCTCCAGGTCCCTCCTTAGAGCCCGGCTCCGGAACTTTGTGCATCCCTCCCTCCCGTCCTTTTGCTGGGAGGGTAACCTGTCTCTGCAAAACAGAAATGTGGGAAATTGCAGTTACGGAGCAGTTCGCAGAAACTAGTGTAACAGGCTGGTTTTGCAGACGGAGTTCTGCTCAGGGGGGAACGCCGCTAGGGCGTGCAGTCAGGTGCCTGGCAACGAGGAAGAGCGTTTTTAGGGGGAGCCTTCTCCAGAGGGAAAGGAATGGGAACATAAGAGCTCTTTCTAGAAACTTTCTTCTTCTCGGGGCGGGGTTTTTCCTCATCGTTTTACCATTGTCTCCTGACACAGAGCCGTGGTGTTTGCAAGAGTGACAGAAAAAGTTATCTAGGGACTGACGGTGTAACTCATTTTAATAGTGCTCACCCAGCATGCAGGAGGCCTGTGGTGAGAATTCTGGAATTTCGGGTTCTTTTAAAAACACTGATAAGAATGTGCTTTCGTTTTTAACCCCGAGTGTGGGGGGGTATTGGGCGGTGCAGGAACAGACTATGATTTGCCTCATGCTCTAGCAGAAGTGTCTTTTTGCCAGCAGCAGATAATTCTGCGATTGTGTGACATTAGGGATTCTGGGAGCATTTCAGAGGGTACATAAATGCCAGAGCACCATGAGGCTTGGTTGCAGTTTGTTAGCAGCTGGGGGGGATCAAAGAAGGAGAAACAAAAGGAAACAATCATAATTCCTCTCTGCTCTCTTTGTTTCTCTCCTATCTGGTGTTAGTGGGTGAAACTGTGGGAATAAAGGGTGGGAAAAAGAAGAACCCACAAAGTAGCAAAAACCAGGTACTGAAGTGAGGTCTTGCCTGGATAGTCAGCACAACAACAACAACAACAAAAAAGTGATGGTGGCACACACCTGCACACCTGTAATCCCAGGACTAGGCAGTGACAGCAAGACCAGCAGTTCAGATTCACTCAAGGGTAAAAAGTGAGTTGGGGGCCACCTGGGCTGCACAAGACCCTATCTCAAAAAGGAGGGGCAGGAGTTATCTAGACCAGTCCTGACTCATTTTTCCCATCTAGTGCTTGAGCCCAGGGCTTCCTGAATGCTAGGCAAGTGCTTTACAACAGAGCTAAATCCCCATCACCTCAAATTACACCTCGTAGGGCTTTGGCTTTGGCATTTTAATCTGTAATAGGACAGTCTTGAGCAACAAGATAGCTCAGTAGATAAGGTTACTTGCTGCCAAGCCCATTGACCTAAGTGCTATCTATCTTCAGGGCCCACGTGGTGAAAGGAGAAAACTGGCTCCTTCAAGTTGCCCTCTGACTTCCTGCTACAGGCATGCCATGGCACACTCCTCCCCAAACAAATAAGTAAATAAATGTAATTTAAAAAGAAAAAAAGAAAGAAAGAAAAGGGCATTCTTGCTAAGCAGTGCTGTCTTCTGCTGAAACACCTCTAGGGAGTTATAGTCATTGATACCTGAGGAGGTCCCTGCTGTCTGTCATTGTTCACTGCTGAATTACCAAATGTAGTCAGGAGGCCACAGGACTTCTCCTTTTGAGTTTATCAGCGCCTACCCAACCTTATTTTCATAATTTCCTGCTTGCTTGATTTTGGATTATGTTAGCTATTGTTAATTGAATATTGTTTGACTACACACATACAAATCCTCCTGCAAATAATTCAGCAAACGTACTTTGCCACATGATTCTAAGTCATGATGGGTATTTTCCTGAAGGGTCCTAGCGTGCCTACCCTCGACATGATCCTTGCTTGCCTCAAACTCCCCTACTCGCTGTGGGATGACCTTGAACTTCTCATCCTCCTGCCTCGCCCTCCCCAGTACTGGGATTACAGCTGTGCACACTTAGTTTATGTAGCACTGGGGATTGAACATAAGGGCTCCTGCATACCGGGTGAGCATTCTACTAACCCAGCTTTATCTCCAGCCTGTTTGCTTTTGAAGTGGGGGCTCCTTGTGCAGCTTAGGGTGGCTTGTAATACACAATTCTCCTGCCTCTGCCTCTTAGGTGCTGGGATCACAGGCAGACAACGCTTTGCCAGGTACATGGCTTACAGCACGTACAGAATGAGAACAGAAAGCCACATGTGTGCTAACAGTCTGGCTCTGGGTAGACTTTTTATTGATGAAAATTGTCTTCCGCGTTGAACCTTAACCTTGTTCTAGAGAATATTAACTTCCCTCATGTCTTCATATCATGTTTTGTAAAGCCACTTTCTTCCTGATCCACAGGTGGATTGCCAGTCTGACCTTGTATCTCATGCATAGAAGGAAGCTGGACTGTCCCGGCGGAGTCTTGCTCAGCACTTACTTGATCGTTCTCCTTGTTCTTCTGGCAGTTATTATATGCACTGTGCTGGCCATCGTGTGTGTCAGCATGAGAGGTAAAGAGCCACATTCTGTGTGTGAAACCTGGTTTTTATTTTAACAGCCATACAGTTCACCCACGTAGAGTGTATTTAGTGGTTTGTTTTTGTTTTTGTTTTTCTAAAATGTGTGTGTGCGTGTGTGTGTGTGTGTGTGTGTGTGTGTGTGTGTGTGTGTGTGCCAGCTGTGGTCAGAAGAGGGCATGGGTTGGGATGACCTGGACCTGGGCTTACAGGTGATTATGAACCACTCTACACAGATGGTAGGAGCCAAGCTCAAGTCCTCTGCAAGAGTAGTAGGTGCTCTTCACCACTGAGCCGTCTCCCAGCCCCTCGAGAGTTTCCTACTGTTTCCACGGCTGCACAAGTATCACTGCTGATGGCACAACATTTCCTTGCATATGTGTGTGTGGTGCATGTACATGTCTGTGTGGGTGTCTGCACAAGCGTTTATGAAAAGCCAGAGATTGATATCATTGGCTGGCTGCCCTCCTGGATCACTCTCCACCGTATTTTTTGAGGGAGGGTGTTGTCAAAATTCCTTCCCTAGAGCAATGTTTACCCCTCCCACAACAAACCGAGCCATGATTTTGCTTTTCTTCTGGACGGAGCTGTCTGCACGCCCATCCGGGATGAGTAGATGCACAGAGGCCCATCCTGGAGAAGCTCTGATGTCTGGCCTACCCCTGCACATCCAGTGTTAGTGGGCATACAGGTCCTTCTGGTTCAGCTTGAATTGGATTTTCTGTTACTTATGACTGAAAATGTATGGAATTGAAGATGACAGTGCAGCCTGTGATCCCGGCTTCTCAGGGGGCTGAGGTGGAAGGGCCACAAGTTCAAAACTTACCGTGTCATTGGACCACTGATCCTGCCTGCAAAACAGGAATGGGGACAGTGAGATGGCTTAGCAGATAAAGGCCCTTGCTGCCAAGCCTGAGGGCATTAAGTTCCATCTCTGGTTCCACAGCATAAGAGAAGAAACTGTCTACCAGAAGTTAGGTGTCTTGTGACCTCCATATGTGTGTTATGACACATGTGCACACAAAAAGACTGGCTCTCTCTCTTTCTCTTTCTCTCTCTCTCTCTGAAGGAGCTTACTGCTCTCACAGGAGAGTTTCTAGCACCTATATCAGGTGGCTCATAATCACCCATAACCCTAATTCATGGGGCTCCACTGCCATCTCTTGACCTCCACTGGCAATGAATGCACACAGTGTACACAGAGGAGGCACAAGCACAAGAATAAAAATGAAACTTAAAAAAGGTTTGGCTAGGTGGGAGTGGCCCACATATTTTAATACCAGCACTCGGGAGGCCCTGGGACCCATGTAGTGGAAGCAGAGAACCTACTCCTACAGCTTGTCCTCTGACATCCACAAATGTGCGGTAGTACGTGTGTCTAGCACACACATAAAGAAATGTTGGAAGAAAATACTTAAAAGAGTTTTACATGTTATGCAGTGGCTCACACTAAACCTAGTGCTCAGGGAGGTAGAGGCAGGTGAACCTCTTGAGTTTGAGGTCACCTGGTCTAAATAGCAAATTCCAGATCAGACCAGCCAGGGCTACATTCCCTGTCTCTTTCTCTCTCTGTATATGTATGTATGTATGTATGTATGCATGTATGTATATATACACACATACATGTACAGATATACGCACATACAATTTTTAAAAGATTTAAAAGACAAGTGTGTGGGGCGGGGTTGTAGCACATGAGAAAAAGGCATTTTTCTTGGTACATACATACATAGCCTTTGTTGTTGTTTTCTTTTTGGCATCAGTAGGGATTGAACCTTACTAATGCATGTGAGGCAGATTTCCTCCAACAGAGCCAGAGCCCCACGTCTCTTCTGTCTGAGATGGAGTCTTGCACTGTAGCCTTGACTAGCTTGGAACTACTGTGGGCATTTCTCTTGTTTTTGTCTCCTAAGTGCAGGGATTACAGGCATGCACCACGAGACTCAGCATGGGGCTTCAGGAAGACACAAGGGAAGAGCCCTTGATTAGTAGAAAAACAGGCAAAGAACCTAAAGAGTGAAAGAAGGATTTTTTTATTTGTAAAATTTTCAGCCTCAACCATACAAAAAGATATTGAAATGGGCATATCATTACATTATGAAGTGGACACGAGTGAGCAGCTTGACCTTTTGGTGGTAATGTAATTAGCCAAACCTTTGGGGAGGCCAGTGAGACAATCCCGATATATTAATCAGCTTTTACCTGTATATTTGCATGTACACACGGAAGTGCTTGTGATCTTCCTTGGAGTGTGGTTTGTGGACGGACGAGCAAGATGATTCTTTTTCATAGTCAAAGATATATATGGTGTAGTTGGGAACAATTTTGCTTTTGTTGTGGTGTTTTCTTTGCCTTTTTAGGGTATTATTGTGTAGCCCAGGATGGCCCAAACTCACAGTGATTTTTTTTTCCCCCTGATTATCAGCTTCCCAAGGTAGGACTAGGATCATAGGTTTGCACTTCCACATTCATCTCTGTATTGATTTAAGAACTCCCATGCAACCCTGCTGTTGCTACTGTATGGGGGAGGGGCACTGGCAGTGGTCTGCATTCAAGCCCACTGTGTTTTCATAGAACCCTATTTGAGGCCTGCTGTCCACCTTATCTGGATAGGGCCCTTTATATCTTGGTTTGTGTCTTAAGAGTTATAGTTCAACTTCTGTGTCAGAGAAGATGGCTGCAGTGGCTAAGGTGCCTGCCATTCATACATCTGTGGCATAGACCTTCTCTTTGCTTTTATGCATGCCCCACTTGATGAGGGACCTTAGGTCAGTTTAGGAAGTCTTTCTTGAGGACAGCCCAATGCAGCTCTCTGAAGGTTAGGGTCATCAAATTAGGATAGAGAAGAAAAGTAAATATGGAAAAGTGTTCTAGCCAAGCATGGTGGTGCACTCCAGAGGCAGATGCAGGCATATCTCTGTGATTTCAAACTCAGCCTGGTCAATGTAGTGAAACCTTGTCTAAAAAATGTGTTCTCCTAAGACCTGAGCCAGATGAGACCATCAACATTCTGTCACGGGTTGGGAAGAGATTCATGTGTCCCCCACCTCTAGCTCAGGGACCACTGGCAGTTCCTGGTTGCTAGGGGCTGGGGGAGCCATTTTTCTTTAGTGATGTAGCCACTGGTCAGTTGCCCATGTTCCTGGGAATAACTCCCCACCCATACCCAGGCAGTCCCTCTGAATCACAACGCAGTGATTCAAATCAACCAAAAACAAAACAAAACCCCACAGAAGATAGGAGGGTACTTCTCAGGAAGAGGGCCCAGAGGGAGTGGGAGGACCAAGGAAGGGCATGACCAAAATCTGCCATGTACACTTAGGAAATTATCAAAGAATTTAAAATAATGTTTTTCTGAGTAGATGCAGCTCTTTTCAATATCTCATTTATTCTCTGGAAACTTAGACACACCCCATCTGTTTGTTTCTCTGTTATTTGGTAAATGTTGTGTCAGAGCTTTTGTGTGGAAAGCCTCAATCACAGATGCTGCTGGCCATGTTAGAATACATCCATAGCTAGAATCCTACCAGTGCAATGGAGGACCAGTTCCTGGTTTGCTAGGGTCACATCCACCACTGTTACTTAGTAAGAGGCTCCCTTTGTTCCTCAGAGTACTGGACTGCCAGCCAGATGGTTCCACAGGTAGAGGCAGTGCTTGCCAAGCCTGACCTGAATTTGACCCCACACGGTGGAAGGAGGAAAAGGCTCCTGCACGTGTACTCCAACTTCTTTTGTGCCATGGCACACATGTGCTCATACACAATAAATAAATGTAAATAAAAATTTAAAAATCAATTACCATATAAATGCCGAGCAGGAGGCTTGATAGTGCCTTTTTTTTTTTTTTTACATGTTTTTGTTTGTTTGAGGTAGGGTCTCTCTATGTATCCCCAGGTATATATGAAACTTGCCATGTAGTCCAGGCTGTCCTTGAATTTACAGAGGTCTGCTCACCCCTGAGCTGTGTGGTGCCATAATTATTTAAATTTAAATTATGAGGATGTCTGTGTGGGAATACCGTAACTGTGGGAGTGCCTGTAGAGTCTAGATAGACAGGGTATTGGACCCCCTGGGGTTAGAGTCCAGTGCAGTTGTGAGTACCAGGAACTGAAGTCAGGTTCTCTGGAAGAGCATTGAGTGCCCTTCGCTCTGAGTAACATTTCAAATCAGTGCTTATGCTGCAGTCATGAGCCTGTGATCTCAGTTCTGAAAGGACGGAGGCAGGCAGGTACCTGGAGTTCACTGGCCAACCAGCCTAGTTAAGTCGATAAGTGAGAGACCCTGTCTCAGAAATGCAAGGCCTGGGGAGTGGCCCAGAGGTTAAGACTTTATGCTCGCTTGAGGAGAATCCCAGTTCAATTCCCAGCACCTACATGGAATAGCTCACAGCTGCCTGCAGATCATAGGGATCCAAGCCTCTGGTTTTCCCCCATGGATTCCTGTACTCACACGCCTCAGCTCCCCACACAAACACATAATTCAAAATAAAATAAATCCTTTTAAAAGTAAGGTGAAGAGTGATAGCAAAAAGCACCCATCATTCCCCTTTGGTTTCTATGGGAAATAGTAGGGACATACACACACCACACATACACAAACACACAAGTATCAAGATCTGAGCCTCAGTTTTTTTGTTTGTAAAATGAGATGGCCACACACCCACAGTTGGTGAGGATGAGAGAATAATGGGTATTAAAGTATTTATTAGCACGGTCCAATAAGGTGTCCAGCAGACGGGAAGTTTATCCTCCTGGCTGTCAGAATCTCATGACGATTTCCCTTTCTGCTGGGGCAGTCCTCTTGCATGCCTGTTGCCCTAGTATAATTACACCCACAGTGGCACTTGTGGTTCTCAGAAGTAGTCCAGTTTGGCCAGTGCTTATGGGGGCCTCCTCATTAGAGCCCAGAAGGAGCTTTAACTCTCAGGGAGTCTCAGAAGTGAACCTGAAGTTTCTGCAACACTTTCCACCCTTCGCTTTGTCACTTTTTCTTTCTTTCCTTTTCTTTTTTTTAAGACAAGGTTTCTCAGTTTAGCCCTGGCTGTAGACTAGGCTGTCCTTGAACTCAGAGATCTGCCTGCCTCTGGCTTCTGAGTGCTGGGATCAAAGGTGTGCGCCACCACTACCCAGCATAGAGGACAGGGTATTTTGTCTTGAGCTTCTGGTCCTCTTGCCTCTACCTCCTGGGTGCTGAGGTTACTGGCTTATGCTGTATTGCAGGTTCACGTTTACTAGGCAAGCACTCTAGAACTGAGCCACACAGCCAGTCCCACCGTGAGGCTTTTTACTGTTTGTTTCTTTGTTTGGTCTTGTTTTTCAAGACAGGGTTTCTCTGTGTAGCCCTGTCCTGGAACTCTCTCTATAGACCAGACTGGCCTTGAACTCACAGTGATTCCTTTGCCACTGCTTCCCAAGCACTGGGATTAAAGGCGTGTGCCACAACCATCTGGCCGAGGATTTAAATTTCTAAAAATATATTCATTTACTTTTATGTATATACGTGTGTCTGAATGAAGGCAAATGTACCATGTGCATGCAGGAGCCCTCAGGAGCATCAGATTCCCCTAAACTGGAGTTGCAGACAATTGTGAGCTGAGAACCAAAGCCAGGTCCTGTGCCAAAACAGGGGTTCTGGGATGAAAGGCATGTAACCACACCGCTGGCTTTGTCGCTTGCGGGTCTCCAAGCAGAAGTCAAAGTGGTGGGCACCGCAGAATGCAGACATGTTCTGTGGCTATGTTCTTTTTTAAGATTGGTTTTATTTCTAAATGTAGTGTGTCTGAGGCTGAGTGTGGTGTGTGTATGTGAATGCAGGTGCCCATGGAGGCCAGAGGGTCAGATCCCCCGAAGCTGGGTTTATTTATATGCAGTTGTGAGTGCTCCAATACAGGTGTTGGTGTAGGTGTTGAAAGCCAGTTTGGGGTTCTTTGCAAGAGCAGTACACGCTCTTAACTGCTGCTGAGCAGTCTTTCTAACCCTTGTAGTGCCTGTGCGTGTGTGTGTGTGTGTGTGTGTGTACAGGTGTATAAGGGGTGTGTGGAGGGTAGAGGTCCAGGTCAAGTTTTGGGTTTCTGGTTTTGTTTTGTTGGTTTTTTTTTTCAAGACAGGGTTTCTCTGTGAAGCCTTGGCTGTCCTGGACTCACTTTGTGGCCTTGAACTCACAGAAATCCCCCCTGCCTCTGCCTCCGAGGGTGCTGGGATTGCAAGCGTGCACCACCATGCCTGGCTTCCACCTTATCTTTTGAGGAGACTGGGTCTCAGTGAGCCTACAGCTCATAAATTCAGCCAGGCCGGTTGGCCAGTTAGCTCCAGGAGTCCACCCATCTCCACTCCTGTCAGCCCTCCAGCTGCAGACACACAGCACCTCTCTCTCAGCTTTCATGTGGATGCTAGAGAGCTGAACTCAGGTCCCCATACTTTTATAACAGGCACTTTATCAGCTGAGCCGTCTCTCCATGCCCCTGGTAGTTGGACAGCAGCTCTGCATCTTGGGAGGCTCGTGAACAATTGCTTCTTTTCTGTGTTCCAGGAACCATTTGTAACCCTGGACCTCGGAAGTCTATGCCTAAGCTGCTTTACATCCGCCTGGCACTCTTCATACCAGAGATGGTCTGGGCTTCTCTGGGGGCCGCCTGGGTGGTAAAAGGAATCCAATGTGACAAGACAGTTGTGATTGGTATCATCGTCACTGTCATTGTCAGGTGAGATGCTCCTCCTACTCCTAGCTTCTCCTTGGGTGCATTTCTGGGTGGTACAGCACCCTTTTGTCCTAAACTTTCTGACATAGGGTGAGGCCTTTCATGGAGACTTAGAGATGTTTTTTACCTTCTTCCCTGTCCTCACAGGGAAGAGGGGCTGCAAAGATGGCTTAGCACTTCAGAGCACTCGTCATACTGTGAGAACTGGGGTTCAGTTTCCAGTACTCACGAGAAAAGCTGGGCCTCTGCGCTCCAAGAACAGTGGTGAGCAGCAGGTCACTGGGCCTTACTGCCTTTCAGCCTAGCCCAGAAAACATGAGCCCCACGTTCAGACAGAGAGACCCTGCTTTGGAGGAATAAGCGGAAATTGATTAAGGAGAATACCTTCTGTCATGTTCTCATATACCCACCAGCAACTCGTGCACACATTAAATGGATGAATAGATTGATTAATTCTTTAACAACAGAAATGAGGGGCTAGAGATGACCTAGTGGTTAAGAGCACTTGCTGCTCTTGTTGAGAACCTGAGTTTGCTTTCCAGCACACATCAGAAGGCTCACAGCTAACTGTAACTCCAGCTCCGGGGGATCTGGTGCCCTCTTCTGGCTTCAAGAACACCTGCACTCATGCACACATGCACACACACACACATAATATAAAAATAAAATAAATCTTACAAAAAAAAAAGAGAGAGAGCAAAACCAGTGGCCGTAGAAAAGGTTAGAGGTGAGAAGAGAACCAGTGCCAGGAATTGAAATGGTATATAATCATCTTAACAAGGTTCATGATGCGTTTTTATCTTCTGTAAAGATCTTTACTTTTTTAAACATTCATTTACTTACCAGTGTGGGGAGGTGTGCGTATATGCTATGGCACATGTGGAAGTCAGAGGACAACTTGTGGGAGTCAGTTCTCTCTCTCACCCGTGTGGGTCCCAGGTATTGAACTTGGGTTATCAGGCTAGAGCAGTAGATTTCCTCACCTGCTGATCATCTCACCAATAGTCTAGTTTTGTCCCTCTGCATCATGAGTAAGGAAACGGAGGCTGGCATTGGAGCTGCATCCCTGAGGCAGAGACAGGGACAGCAGAGTCTGCATCTTAGCAGCAGGATTATAGCAGAGCACGCCCAGGGCTTTGCTTGCCGTGGGCAGTGTAGAAATAGTTACGGCTGAATATGTGGTACCGTGGTTGAAGCCTGCAGGAGAATGTGAGGACCTCAGTTAAGATCCCCACACTTCGGCTACTGATGTAGAATGCTTAGCCAAATCACTGGGCGCTATGCTCAGTAAGAACCCTGTTGTAGTAAGGTGGAGAGCGATCAAGGAACACCCCTTATGTTGACCTCTGGCCTCTACACACACATGCACTCATCCGCATGAACACATCTATACACCACACACAAACAGAAATAGTTCAATGGGGGCATCTATCAGAGTGTTCCATAGTGGGGACATTCTTTTTGTTTTACTATGAGAACCCCAGAGAGTTGAGGAGCAGCTAGGTCATAGCCAGGGCGTCTGAGAACTAACTCCAGTGACGCCTGTGTCCAGGCTACAACGCTGCCCACCCCGCAACTCCTTGTTTCCTTTCTGGGCTTTAATCTCTGGTCTTCTTGGGACTTAGGTTAGCTCTGGATTCGTGAGGGAACTTTTTTCCTTTTTTATATTTATTTATGTAAGTGTGTGTGTGTGTATTCATGATGTGGCACATGTTGGAGGTCTGAGGATAGCGTTCAGGAGTTGCTTTTCTCCTTTCATCATGTGGGCCCCAGAAGTCAAATTCAGGTCCTCAGGCTTGGCTGAAAGTACCTTTACCTCCTGAGCCCTCTCACTGACCCTCACACGGAACCTTCTAGAAGAAAATTGCTTGTCACAGACAGACCCCTTTCCTTCCGCAGTGCAGAAACAGCTTAGCCTGTGTGTTTGGAGTGGACCTGCCCTGCTCAGTGGTCAAACCTTCCCCATGCTTTACTTTTCGCAGTTGGATTGTCATTGCTGCAACCATGGTCACCATCATCCTTGTCTTTGACCCGCTGGGTGGAAAAATGAGGCCTGAACACCTGGAGAGTAACAGCTCCAACCAGTTACTGACTGGCCTGAAGACAGCTGCGAAGAGCGTGTGGGAGACCAGAGTGCAGTTCTGCTGCTGCTGCGTGGGGCAGGACGACAACACCAGAGTGGCCTTCTCCAGCACAGCTGAACTCTTCTCCACCTACTTCTCTGTAAGCGGAAGGGCTCTGCCGTGGGCTTTTTCTCCTGTTACTGCGGGAAGAGGAGCACTTTGTACTGAGCCATGTGAGCCACCCTAAAATGGCTCTGAGGACCTGGACCCCTGGGCTTGGGGTTCCGGACTATGATACCCGGGGGGCGTGGCAGGCAGCAGCAAGGAGGGCTGAAAATATACTGCCCAGGGAGGGTGGGGAGTGGCGTGGCAGGCCACAGTTAACTGGAAGGCTGGCCAGGCCTTTTCTGCCCCTGGTTTGTTTTGCTTGACTGAGACAGGGTCTCCTGTAACCCAGGCTGGCCTGACACTGACTGTGTAGCCAAAGATGACCTTGAACTTCTGACACAGCTTCATCTACCTCCTCAGTGCTGGGATTACAGGCACGCATCACCATGTCCTGTTTCTTTTGGTGTCAAGGACGCAACCCAAGGCTTCATGTGTCTAGGCATGTGCTGTCCTTGCTGATCCCCAGCCCAGCCCTCCCCTCAGCCCCTTTCTTGGTGGCTAGGCGTGTCCTTTCTTTGATATTGGTTCACCACAGTCCAGCTACGCACTGTTTTTAAGGAACTAAATAGCATTAGGAAAGAATCTGCCAGTTGTCTTTTTATATCTCCTGTGTCCAGCGTAGTCAGCAGATACACAATGTCCGGCATTCCAGGGCTGGCAAAATGTCTCGGCAAGTCCTGGCACTTGATGACCTGAGTTCCCACATAAGTGGAAGGCGAGAACTGACTCCTGCAAGTTGTCCTCCGCCCTCTGTCCATGTACATAAACACAAAAGAATGTAAAAAATAATTTAAAGAAATATTTCTTGCTGCTTACCCTGACTAGTGGCTGAGGTGCAAAGGGAGCCATTGTTTAGGATGAGCTTCCCAAGGACTTGGACATGCTCGGCTTTCTCTCTCCTCTCTATGTGTCTCTTTGTGTAACGGATGTGTGGCAACTACTGTTATTTTTGGTACAGAAACCAAGTAAAAGAGAAGATTCCTTTTGACACCCTGTGCACCTTCCTCTCTCTCTGTCTCTCTCTGTCTCGCTTCTCTGTAGTGTCTGACTTTGAACTGTTGGGAGCTAGCAGCGTGTGTGGCAGCAGGTGCACACCAGTGGCCTTTGTGGGGACCTAAGAAGTGTGCCTGTAAATACTTTTTTTCCTTTTTGACTTGTTTGAATTTTTATCACTTATTTTTGGTTTTTCGAAACAGGGTTTCTCTGTGAAGCCCTGGCTGACCTAGAATTTTCTCTGTAAGCCAGGCTGGCCTGACTCTGCCTCCTGAGTGCTGGAATTAAAGGTGTGCACCACCACTGCTGGGCTTAAACTTGTTTTTATTTTTATTAGTTGCATATGTGTGAGTGTATGCCTCATGTACACAGGTACCCAAGGAGGCCAGATAAGGGTGTCAGCTCCCCTGCAGCTGGAGTTACAGGGAGTTGTGAGACTATCTGATTGGGTGCTTGGAACTGAACTCCAGTCCTCTGCAGGAGAACAAGCATTCTTAGCCACGGAGCCAACTTTCCAGCTCTCTTCTAAATCTTACAACCCAATCTCAGGATATCTAGAGGGAGAGGTGGTATTTAGTTACTACCATTTTTACCTTTGGGGGACAGGGTCTCATTAGCTGAGAGTGACCTGAACCCCTGGTCCTCCTGCCTCTGTATCCTACGTGTAAGAGATGACAGGTGTGCTCCATGGAGACAGGTGTCATGCCGGGCTGGAGCTGGAACACAGGGGTTCGTGCATCATAGACACTCTCTGTCCATCAGGCCCAGTGGACCGATCAGGTTCTTCCCGTGGGCCAGAAGTGCCTGCTTCTGGTGGGGAATTCTGTTCAGTTGCTTGTTTTTAACTGTTTGTGTGGGGAGGTGCGTGGCATTTGTGGAAGTCAGAGGAGAGCCGGCAGGAGTTGGCTCCCTCCCTCTATCAAGTGTGTTCTGGGTATCACATTCATTTTGTCAGGCTTGCATGTGACTGCCTTTAACTGAGCCGCTCATCCTGTGGCCTGCTGCCTCAACCTTCCTTTTTTGACAAAAGGACTCATTGTATAGCTCAGGCTGGCCCTGAACTTGCCATTCTCACGCCTTTGGGTCCTGCAGTTCAGACATGTGCCACCAGGCTCAACTGGTAGAGGATTTCTGACTTGTATGATTGTCCATACAAGAAGCCTCACTAGTGTTTTACTGGTTTCTGGTTTCTTTCAAGGCACAGCATACCCAGAAATCATATGTTCATCCTCATGAATCTGCCACTGAGTATGTACCAATATAAACTTCACATCAGCCAGATGCCCTGGCGCACACCTTTAATCCCAGCGCTCCTTTGGTAGGATGGAAGCTCACAGGCTATTGAGCCTGGAGAACACAGTCCAGGAGGTATGAAAAGAGAGACCCCCACCCCAAAACAAGTTAGGAGGAGAGAACCAGTCTGTAAGAGTTGCCCTGTGACTCTCACACATGTACCCTGGCATGTGTGCACTTGCACACAGACACACTTTTTTAAGAAAAATAAGTCACCTAAAATAAAATTATGATAAAATGATCTATCTAGCAGATTTGTCTGAGGACAAGATGTGAAAAATACTAAGAAACCCCACAAAGGAAGATGCTCTTTAAAGTATGTCTTTAAGGACTGGAGAGATGGCCCAGTGGTTAAGAGCACTCCCTGCTCATGCAGAGGACCTGCATTCAGTTCCCGGCGCCCTCATTGGTTAGCTCACAAATGCCTGTGACTCCATCACCAGGGGCTCCAACACCTTCTAGCCTCTGGGGCATGTGCACACGTGCACTTAAACACGTGACATGTGCTTATACTTGGGAGGTGGAGGCAGGAGGATGTGAAATTCCAGGTCATGTTTAGCTACACGGTAAGCTGAAGGCCAACCTAAGCTGCACAAGATTGTCGCAAACAGAAAGCAACAAATACCTCTTTCTATGTAACATACCTGCACGTTTGCCTATGAACTCTGTTCACCTGGGTGCTGAGGGTGCCAGGCAGTCAGATGGGTTTTACGGCAGGCCATTGTGCTTTCCCACCCAGGACACAGACCTGGTGCCCAGTGATATTGCGGCAGGCTTCACCCTTCTCCACCAGCAGCAGGACAATATCAGCAACAGCCTGGAGCCTCGGGAGGTCGTCACCCACTCTCCAGGGCAGTCTCAGGTAATGACCGAGCCACCTCTGACGTTCGTGCTTCTGTGTAGATCTCCAGAGTCCTGCAGCCAAAGCCTGGCATGGGGCACGCAGGAGGATGAAGCAGGAAGATTGTGAGTCAACTGCCTGGGCAATGTAGTGAGACCCAGGCTAGAAACAGACCCTGTGTAAGAAGAGAGAAGAAGGGGGGGAGGAATGAAGGGAGGGAGGCAGACGGGGAAGAAGAGAGGTGTAGCCAAGAACGATTTCCATAGCTTTTGCACTGAATCGCCCAGATCCCAGGCACAGGAAGCTCACTTCAGTCTTACTGTCTAAGTTGCATTGTAGGAAAATCAGTGTTGGGTCCTGTCTTCCAGAAGAATTTCTTCTGGGATGGGGCCTGAGTCACCCCAGAGTGTGTTTTCAATGTAGGTCTAGAAAGCAGAAACAGATTTAGCTTTGCCTGATGAAAAATTTCCTGCCCTAGATGTTTATGTTTCCCTAAGAGAGAGTCATGCTGGGCATGGCAGTGCACACCTGCTTGTCCAGCAGTAGGGCCCAGAGGCAGGAGGATTGTGAGTTCCAGGCCACCCTAGGCTACACGATAGAAGGGACAAAACTAACTCATTCTTCTCTTTCCTTCCCTCCCTCTTTTCCTCTATCCCTTTTTGCATTGTTGGGCGTAGAACCCAGAATCTTGTGCACACTTCTAGGTAAACCCTCAAGAAAATAACACAGAGAAGCCATGGCAGCCAGGCACTGATTGCACCCATGCTGTTGGGAGTCCCTCAGGCATTGCTGCTGTGACATGCTAGGACTAAGGCAACTTATGAAAGAAAGCATTTATTTGGGGCTTACAGTTCTAGAGGGGTAGAGCTCTTGGCTGTCAGCAGTGGGCGGGCAGGCCTGGCGCTGAAGTAGTCGCTGAGAGCCCACATCATAAGACAACCATGAGGAAGAGAAAGAGCTTCTGGGAATGGTGTGAGTCTTTTGAAACCTCAAAGACTTTCCCCTGTGATACACCTCCTCCAGGTACCAACAGCACCCTTGTTGCTGGCTGGAAAGCTATGAAGGCCTCTGTGCAGGAAGTTCCTGAAGAGTCAGAAAACCCACCAGGGATTCCTGCCTTCCTCCCTCACATTTCTGGTGGAATCCATTGCTGGCCGTTTAAAAACCAGCTTTTTAGCAGCTGGTGGGTCTGAGAGTTCAAGGCTGGCCTGATCTGTGTAGCAAGTTCCAGGCCAGCCAGAGATACATACTGAGACTTTGTCTCAAAAAATAAAAGTGCTAGGTGTGAGGCTGGCATGGTAGCACACGTCTTTAGTTCCAGCCAGGAAGGCAGAGGCAGGTGGATCCCTGTGAGTTCAAGGACAGCCTGAGTCCAGGACAGCCAGGGCTACACAAAGAAACCCTAACTCAAAAAAGCAAAAGAAAGAAAAAAAAAAAATGCTAGCTATGGTGGCATATGCCTTTGGTCCCAGCACTCAGGAGATAGAGGTGGTAGATCTTTGAGTTCAAGGCTAGCCTAGTTTGCAAAGCAAGTTCCGGGTCAGGACAGCCAGAGGTTTCTAAAGACAGGGTCTTTAAAAACAAACAGTTTTTCCCCTACAAGAGGCGGGAAAGATGGCTCAGCTGTTAAACTCTTGCCACACAGGTATGAAGGCTGGAGTTTGGCTCCCCAGAACCCATGTAAATGCTGGGTGGGTGTGTTGGCCTGAAATTCTAGTCTTGGAAGGTGAAGATAGGAGCGGCTGAAAGGTGTTTACGAGACTGCCCAAGTTAGTGAGCCCTGGATTTGAGTTAAGGACCCTGCCTCCATGAATAAGGTGGAAGAGTGAGGCTTCTCATGTGAACCGTGGGCCTCCACACACAAACAGATGCACACACACACCAGTGCCTACACCTTTATGAAACACACAGGTGCACCACAAATACACATGGGAGAAAAGTCTTGAGAGTCAAGGAGGAATGAGCAGGAAGACTTGGAAGCTGGAGTCCAGCTGTAAGACCTCAGTTGGGTGAGGCTCAGTAGCTCAAGTGTATGCTTCGGCAGCGTGGGGCCGGAGTGCAGATTCCTGGAACTCACATGTAGGCTGCCATACTGAGTGCTTCTGTGATCCCAGGGTTCTCAAGGCGAGATGGGAGCTGGGGACGGGACAGTTAGGAGGCTGGAAAACAAGCCAGCTCGGGTATCCCACAAACATTGTTTTTCCAACAAGGTGGAAGGTGAAGACAGGCACCTGAGGCTCAAACACACAGCTTTCTCCATTGTTGTCTCTCACACACACCTAAAAGGGCTTCTTTTCATTCTCTCCTAGGAAGCTGATTTGGATGCAGAGGTGGAAAACTGCCACCACTACATGCCGTTTGCAGCAGCTGCCTATGGATGGCCCCTGTACATCTATAGAAACCCGTTTACAGGGCTGTGCAGGATTGGTGGCGACTGGTAGGTCAGCATGGTGTGGTCCCCTCATGGGATTTTTAAGAAAATATACATGTTGAAAGCATGTAAGAATAGAACAAAGAAGGCATAAGTCCTTTAGCTTGAATCTGTCTAGATCTGTAACTCGTGTATCCTGAGTCCTCTAGAGTCTATGCTTTATCTCTCTCTCTCTCTCTCTTTTTTTTTTCTGAGACAAGGTCTCCCTATGTTGCCTGTGGCTGGCCTGAAAGAAATTCAAAATGTAGATCTAGCTGGCCTTGAACTCTCCAAGATGACCGCCTCTGCCTCCCAAGTTCTGGGAGTAAAGGTGTATGCTGCCACGTGTGGCAGTTGCGAATTTTTAAAAAGCTACTTGTGATTACATTTATTTTATCTGTATGTGTGAGTGCGGATGTGGAAGATAGAAGACAATGCTCCCTCCTAACGTGGTTGCACGGATGTCACATTAAAGAATGAAAAGTACAGGCTTCCCTTTGGAATAGTTTCCAGAGAGCTGGCCCAAATGTGAATTGTCCGCTTCCCTCCGTGTCTTTTGTCTGTCTGTAGTTTGCAGTCTGTGGCCTTTCTCTGTCTGGTCTTTGTCTGCTGTCTGTATGTCCTGCCTGTCCCTACCATGGTTTTTTGAAACCATGGTACAGGGAGGGAAGGAGGCATGCTTTTCTACAGAAATCTTAGACTGAGTTTGACAAGGGAAGAAGTTACTTTACTGACCCAGAACAGCACTCAGAACCACACAAAGATGTGATCGACTTACGTGTGCATGTTGCTTCCAACATCCACGGACAGTCATCGCTTAAGGCCACTCTTAGCCTGTTGGCTGTTTCAGCAAATGATCGCCACAGCATGCACACACACACACACACACACACACACACACACACACACACACACACACACTTTATGCTGGGTTGGTTCTTGGAAAGAAAAGTTTAAGAATGGAGCTGTGCAGGCCAAGCAGTGGTGGTGCGCACCTTTAATTCCAGCACTCAGAGACGCAGAGGCAGGCAGATCTCTGTGAGTTCGAGGCCAGCCTAGCCTACAGAGTGAGTTCCAACCCTTGGAAAGCCGAACCAAACAGAACAACAAACAAAAGATTGGAACTGAGCGTTTAGCTTTACTTGTAGAAGCTGATTCAGTGAGACATCACTGCATATTAAGGTTGGTTACATTGTTCTCTTAGGGGCAGACCTATTACACAGTAGGACAGCAGGTTGAGGTCATGGTTTAAAACTATCTCAGGATATATCATGAACTTGATTGCAAGATCCGAAAAATGTTCAGTCTCTGAAGGCAAGAGGGATTTTCAGGAAAATATATTCTCATACTCTAGGAATCGGACTCAGATTGTCAGGCTTGGTGGCAAGTGAATTTCCCGCTCAGCCATCTTGCCAGCTCATGCTCCTTTATCTGTTAACAACCTGCCTGGATTTCCTCACAACAGCCATCACAGTGAAATTATAAAAATCAGGAAAGTTATCATTGATCATTAACTGGTAACTTGTATTTGAATTCTTTCTGCTGTCCCAATAATATGCATGTGTGTACTAGATGAAAGTGGTATGTATCTGAGTGTGCATGTGTGTGCACATGCATGCGTGTGGGTTCGGAGACCATAGGAGGGTGTCGGTGTCCTGCTGTACTTTATTGTCTTAGGGTCTCTCATTGACCCTGGAGCTAAGCTGCTGGCCAGTAGCCTTAGCCATCCTCCTGTCTCCACCCCATTACCTCACAGGGCTGGGTTACAGACATACTCGTGGCCACACCTGACCTAGTACATGGCTACTGTGGGTTTGAACTCTGGTCCTCCTGTTTGCACAGCGAGTACTCTTTACCACTAAACTACCTACCAGCCTTTTTTTCCCCCCTGATAGAACCCAGGGTCTTGTACTCACTAGGCGAGCATCCTAGTGAGTCCTCATCCACCAGGTCCAGGTTTCAAATCCCTTTGTTCTTGTATAAGTCAATCGTCACTAGACTGGAGTGGGTGGACACTTACTGTTTTCTCAAATCCTCATCTCCTCCACTGTACAGAAAGTTTACGATTGCCTGTTCCTTGGTATCTGTTCCGACACATGCTTCTTGCTTCATTCACAGCTGTGGTTCATTGCTGCTGTTTCTATAACTGTTGATAGTCACATGCCCTGACCTGACTGTGCAGGCTGGTTCCAGTGTCCTTTTGATAGGACCCTGTCACTTTCTGGGCACTTCCCTAGTTAATTGTCAGTTTTGAGACTGGGTCTCATGTAGCCAAGGATAACCTTGAACTCCTGATCCTCTGCTAGGATTACAGGCTGCCACAAGTGGCTTCCTCATTTGTCTCAAATGGAAATTTTCCAAATGTTATTATTAATGTGTGCAAACTTTGCAAACTGTATGCCGTAGCACACGTGTGGAGGTCAGAAGACAGCCTTCAGGACTTGGCTCTGTCTCTCACCGAGAGTTCTAGGATTGAGCTCAGCAGGAGTTTAGCCACTGAGCCATCTTGGCTTTGATGGAAGGTGTTGCAGCCACAGCCTGTGCTTGCTCCACTTGCAGGGTGGAGATACTGATTAGAAACTGGATCTGAGTGCTAGGTGTGTCTGTCCCTCCTGGGGTGCTGCACCCTGCAAGGCTTTCCGATGGATACAGATAGGCAATTCAAGAAAAAAAAAATGAAGATACATTTTTGTTTGTTCTGTGTGTGTGTTTGTCTGTGTGTATGTGGACATGGATGTTAGAGCAGAAGACAGCTTGGGAGAGTGTGGATCCCCTCCCAGGCAAACTCAGGTCATCAGGTTTGACAGTGGTGTCTTTGCGTGCCAAGCCAGTTCCCTGGCCCCAGCCACAGAAATTTTCCGTGACCTTTCCCATGTGATGTTTCTGTCAGTTTTCACCTGTGCCAGTCTGGAACCCAGCCGCAGGGTACTTTGCTCTCACGCTTGATCCCTGGTGCTTCCGAAGTTTCTCTGGCATCCTGGTACCTCATATTGGTAACAGGGTTGGAGGGCTGGCTCCGTCAGTAAAGCACTTGCTATCCAAGCGTGGGGACCTGAGTTGGGAGCCTCAGCATCCACGTAAAAATGCTTGTTCAGACTCCGCCCGTGCCCCCCCCCTCCCCATAAGGTGGGGAGACAGGAGGGTCTCTGGGACTTGCTGGCTGCCAGCCAAGTTCAGTGAGACATCCCATGCTCACGTACATGTTAGTGCACATGCGTGGGCACGCACGAAAGAATGAATGAATGAGTGAATGAATGTCCAGAATGTAGTAGCTCAATGAAAAAGCATTTGCTCCATGTGCAAGACCCATGGATTCCATCCCCTGCCACTCAAGACCGGTTATGTGGTAGTGGTCACCTGCCCTCTAGAGTTTCCACATAGACCGTACAGTGGGGTCGATGTGCGCCGGTGAGGGCCTCCCGCGGCCACAACCACCTCCTGCCCTTCCTCTAGTTGCAGAAGCAGAGAGACAGAGTACGATGCAGTTGAGGGTGACCAGCACAACTGCCACTTCTCCTCCATCCTGAGGACCACAGGGCTGCAGTACAGGGACTTCATTCACATAAGCTTTCACGACAAGGTACTGTCTCAAACGGGGGTATCTACATGTGGGTCCTAGAGGCCTGTGAGATCTAGTGGTAGCGCATGCTCAGGTGCGCGTCTGTGTGTGGGCGTGCATGTGTGCATATGGGTCCTGGACATTGAACTTGGGTTATCAGGCTTAGCAGTGAGTAGCTCGACTTACTGAGCCATCTGGCTAATTCCCAGCCTCCCTACTCTCGAGATGGTCTCACTGATTTTCCCATTCAGTCCCAGAACTTACTCTGACCCAGGCTTGAAACCATTGTCCTCCTGCTTCAGCCTCAGCTTCTTAAATAGCTGGGATCACAGTGCAGGCCTGAAATGGATTATTCTCCATAGAAGGCATGCGCACACACCTGAGCTTGCCTACCTACCAGCCTCAGAAGTCTTTTCAGCGTTGTTCAGTGGCTCTCCAACCATCTATGCTCTCCAGCCCACAGAATCTCTTGGCAAAACTTTTCTTTTGTTTGTTTTGTTTTTCGAGATAGAGTTTCTCTGTGTAGCCTTGGCTGTTTTGGACAAGCTTGGTAGACCAGTCTGGCCTCGAACTCACAGAGATCCGCCTGCCTCTGCCTCCCCAAGTGCTGGAATTACAAGCATGCACTACTGCACCTAGCTTCTTGGCAAAACTTTTAAGATTTCTGCAGTTGGGCTGGTAAGACGGCTCAGTGGGTAAAGGCACCTACCACCAAGCCTGTCCTCTCATTTTTCACACATGCACGTACACATACCCTCCACCAAAACTCCTGCCAAGTGTGGTGGTGCATGCCTATAGCCCTAGTCCTCGGATGCTGAGGCAGGAGGGTAGAGAGAGAGCCAGGTTTCTTTGTAGTTGCTGGTGTCTGTGCCGTGTGAGGTAGCCCTTGTGCTGGTTTATCTTCCAGGTGTATGAGCTGCCCTTCATAGTGGTCCTGGATCACAGGAAGGAGGCTGTTGTGGTCGCCATCAGAGGTACCATGTCTCTCCAGGTAATGCTGGTGTGCTTGACAGATTGGAACGTGGGCACCCAGGGGTGCTTAGAGCAGGGGAGAGCTTCCGTTAGGAACAGAGGAAGTCACTGTGAGGCAACCACGGGAAGCTCTGAAGCCAGGAAGCAAGTGTGGGTTGTGAAACGCTGATGATGAGACATGGGGAGGTGGGTCCCATGTAGCTACCAGCTGTTGGCAGCAGAGAGGCCAGCATGTTCCAAGACAGACTAGAGGGGTACTTGCTTGGTTTGCCTCCTGCTGACCCTTAGATATGCCTGCATGACCCCAAGCCCACTCTCTGATTTCTGTACCCAGAGCCTGATGGGACAGCGAGAGCAGTCTTGTATCAGGAGATACACTGAGCCATGTACAGTGGTACGCTCCTGTAATTCCACCACTCCAGAGGCTGAGGCAGGAGGATGGCAAGTTTGAGGCCTGCTTGGGGTGCATAATAAGCCCGAATTTTAAAAAGGGGGTGGGGACGGCAGCTGGGGAGATGACTCAGTGGTAAAGTGGTAAAGGGCAAGGACCTGCATACAGTCCCCAGAATCCACATAAAAGCCAGCGGTGGTAGCATGTCTGTGGTCCTCTGTTCTACAGCAAAATGGGAGATGGAAATGGGGCTTTCTGTGGAATCCCATGGACCAGATAGCCTGGCATGTACATCAACCACAAGAGACCTTGCCTAAGACAAGGTGGAGGCTGACATCTGAGGCAGCCACCACACCTGGGCATCCACACATGCGCCTGCATCCACACACATGAGGGTGCACATGTGCAGTACACACAAAGTTAAAAAAGCAGCCACACACTATCAGGTTCCTTTTTGGGGTTCTCTCCAGGCCCTCCCTTCCTGTAGTCTCCTTGTGCTAGCTCTTCTCGGGTACAGTGAGCCCCTTGTCCCCTCCAGTCCTCTCCTGGCTCTGCTTGTTGAGCTGTCTTTCCCCTTTCAGCATCTGCTTTCTGGTTTCTTCTCTGCCACCCCCACTCTCACTTCCTAGTTCTTCACTTCCCCAGAAAGGGCCAGTGTTACTGCTGAGCAGGCAGGACAAGCCTGGACTCACTGATGCTTTGCAGGCTGAAACAAAGGTTTAAAGTTCAGGGCTAGCCTGAGCAACTTAGACCCTGTATCAGAATAAAACAGGGCTGGAAACATGGCTCGGCCCTACATGAGTTTCATTCCCAGCACCTACACAGCAGCTCATAACCATCTGTAACTCCATTTCCAGGGGATCCAGCACCTTTTTCTGGCCTGTGTGGGTATCAGGCATGCATGTGTTGCACAGACATAATTTGTAAGCAAAGCACCCATACACATAAAAATACTCTAATAAAGAGGGCTGGGAGGGTGGACATCATGGTGTCACAACTTTAATTCCTGCTCATGGGAAGCAGAGGCAGGTAGGTCTCTGAGAGGCAGAGGCCAGCCTGGTTTATACAGTGAGTTCTGGGCTAGCCAAGGCTACATAGTGAGACCTGGTCTAAGAAGAGAGCCTGGGCATGTACTGTGGTACCTGCCTAGTATCTCCCTGTCAGAGGCTGTTAATGAAGGTAGAATGCTGAACCCACCATGAGGAAGGGCCTGAGCGCAGTCTGTAGTGTAAGTGAGCCCTCATCTCAGCCATCATCTTAGATCTCACAGCCTCAGGCTATATCCTTCTTTCCTAGTCTTTTTCTGACCAGTTGTTTCCCTGCAGCGAGAGAAAGGTTTCCCGTCGGCTCAGTCCCCATCTAGGCTCTCATCATCCTAGTCCATCCATTTTCTTTTCAGGCAGGCCCTTCCTACGTAGCTCCCAAGCGTCCCCAGATGCTGGAGTTGCAAGGATGCTCCCAACACAACCTGCTCCCGTCTGTTCTTTATGCTGCGCACAGGCCTTCGCTCTTCCTTTCTCTCTGGAGACCTCCAGTGCACACAGCTTCCCACAGAGTGCTGTTCCCCATCAGCCTGGTGGGTGCTCTGTGACCTGCCTGGCACCTTTTCCTAGTCCTGCTCTGTACACAGCACTAAGTGTGCCGGGTGGCCTCTAGATGGCCCGAGGGGCTTTTTCTCATGTGGGAATGAGCAGGACATGGCGATGTATACCTGTAATTTCAGGAGCCCAGCCCGGGAGGCGCATATGCTCATGTGCTTACTGTGTATTCCTTCATGTCGGCCCTGCCCCTCAGCCCAGCTCTCCTGTCAGCATCTTTAGGACTATTTAGTGAGCCATTGAGTGAGTGCTTCTGAGGACCAGCACAGGGCTTTGTTCAAACCCAGAAACATGCCCCAGGCTGGGAAGGTCCTTAGATCACTGCAAGACAAAGGTACTTCTGGATGCCCTTTGTCCCTTCCACCATTGCCATTCCTGCCTCACCTGTGTTCTCTGCAGGAGGCTGGGTTACATTTGTCTCTGCTGTCTGACTGCACTGTCTGCGATCCTTTAGAGCAATGCTTCTCAGCTGTCCTAACACTGAGACCCTTTAATGCAGTGCTGTGGTGAACTCAACCATAAAATTATTTTCATTGCTACTTCTTAACGGTAATTTTGCTCCTATTATGAATCATAATATAAATATCTGTGTTTCCCCAGTGATCTTAGGCGAACGCTGTGAAAGGGTTGCCCCAGGGGATCTCAACCCCAGGTTGAGATCACCTTCTTTAGAGTGTCCTGGGAGCAAGAGGCCAGGCCCCCAGCCTTACCACATGCAGCCTTCGCCTGATGTGCAGCTCCGCAGGCTGACCTTGCTGTCTCCACATTCACAGGACGTCTTGACCGACCTGTCTGCAGAGAGTGAGAACCTAGAGCTGGATGCTGAGATACAGGACTCTGTGGCCCACAAGGTACATTTATTTTGAGAGCGGCCATTTCAAAGAGGCCAGGGAGAGTGGGCTGTCAGATCAAACACATGAGGCAGTTGTTGTTTCCTTTTCTTCTTTGTTTTTCTCTTTTAGAACGAGTCATTTGTAGCCCAGGCTAGCCCATAACTCACTTTGTAGTTAAAGATGAACTTTCTGATAACCCTGTCTCCAGTCCGAACACTGGGATTACAGGTTGGGGATCAAATCCAGGGCTTCACAGATGCTAGCCGAACATTCTGTCAACTGAGCTACATCCCCAGTCAGTTTCCCTCTAAAGTCTGAGAAAAATGCTCAGAGCAGCAGCATGGCGCTCCAGCCTCGTGGGCTGCACGGGCTGGACAGCTCACTACCCACAAGTTCCCTGTGGATGTGGCCACAGCCTAGTTCTCTGTTTCTTTCTTCCTGTCCTTTGGGGGTGGAGTGGGGCAGAGTTCCTCCAGGGAGGAGGAAAACCCCACTTCAAACGGGTATGTGTGTGAGATGGTTTTTAAATGTTGGTAAAAATAAGGATAGTAACTCCAGACTTGGAGAGCCTCAGGTAGGGGGATCATGAATTTCAGGCTGTCTTTCACTACATGGCAAGGTCTAGACCATGTGAGCTTTGTAGTGATATTTTCTCTCAATAAACCAAAAAACACAAGATGGATGGGAAGATAGGTGTATGGATGATGGATGGGTGGATGGATGGATGGATGGATGATGATGGATAGATGATAGATGGGTGGATGGATGGGTGGGTGGGTGGATGATGGATTGATGGATGGATGATTGGATGGGTGGGTGAATAGATGATAGATGGATGGGTGAGTGTGTGGATGATGGATGGATGGATGATGGATAACATTTATCATTTTAACCATTTATGAAAGTTCATTTCAGTGCCATCATGTGTTTTACAGCGTGTGTGCCCATGTCTTCTATCTATACCCTAATTTTTCATGAACCGTGATATTGGCTCTGAGCTTGTTAAACACTAATGGCCCCACTTTCAGCTCTGGTAGCCTCTATTCTACTCTCTCACCTTGTGAGGTTGCTTCTTGTAGTATTCTTCTTTATGTTTGAGTGTTTGTGCATGTATGTTTGTGTGTGTTCCTGTATGTGTGCAGGTTCACCTGTGTATGTATACCCAAAGGTCAGAGGTTGATGTTGGACGTCTTTTTCAATTGTTTTTTGCCTTAGTTTTTGAGATAGGGTGTCTAAATAACCCTAGATTGGGTGTTTAAATCTGTTTGAATGGGGCCCAGGAAGCAGCTCAACGGGTGAAGTGCTTGCCAGGCAAGTGTGAGGATCTGAATTTGGGTCTCCAGCACTCAACGTGCAAGAGCAGGTGTGGCAGGTGTGCCTCTGTAATGTCCACACTGGGTGGGTGGAGGCAGGCAGATTCTGGATTATGCTCACTGGACAGTCTCATGTAAACAGCAAGTGGGCACTTTAGTCTCAGCTGTGGGAAGATGGAGGCAAGAGAAGCCTCAGTTGCTCTGGGACCAGCTAGTCCAGCAAACAGAGGCAAGAACCAACATCCGAGGCTCTAAGTGTCCTCAGACCTGCACCTGTGTGCTCTGGCATGTGAGTATCCACACTCAATGTGTACACACGCACACACACACAAATAAATAAAAAGGAATGGCCTTCTTCAGAGCTGTGCCCATTAATGGTATATTATTTTGAACAACTGTGTTATCAGTTGTTTCTGATCACCAGAACTTAACTAAAGCAGGGGTAGGGGTGTGGCTCAGTCAGTAGAGCATTTGCTTAGCATGCACGAAACCCTGGCTTCAGAGTCTGGCATCCCAGCCTGGGTGTGGTGGTGCACACCTATGTCCCAGTGCTGAGGAAGAGGAGGTACCAGACTCAGATCATCCTCAGCTACAAATAATGAGTTTGAGGCTGGCTTGAGTTACATAGTCAGGTCTCCCATTAATAAATACATAAGTAAGAAATGAGAAAATCCTCTTTTTCCTTATTCTGTCTATCTTTCATAACTCATTCCAGTCTTACTATAGTTCTCAAAAGAGTGTCTCTAAAAAATGTTTTTGCTTGTGTGTATGCACGAGTGCTTGCTTGTCTGCGTGGATACCATGTGTTTGCAGTGACCATAGAGGCCAGAAGAGGGCGTCAGGTCCCTTGGAATTGGTGTTACCAGGAGTTGTGACTCCTTATGGGAGTTAGGGATTGACCCTGGTTTCTCTGCCAGAGCTCCAATTGCTCTTAACCGCAGAACCGCCTCTCTGGACCACAGAGTAGTTACATTCTTCCATATCTTTGTTGAGACTGCCAACAAAGTTTTGTTTGCTGTTGAATGGGCAGCCAGGCTCTCACACAGTGCTTCTAAACTGGGGCCCTTTAATACAGTTCCTCATGTTGTGGTGACCCCCAGCCATAAAATTGTTTTCATTTGCTACTTCATAACTGTAATGTTGCTACTGTTATGAATCATAATGTGGCTATCTTACATGCAAGCTGGATGGTGGCACCGCACACCTTTAATCCCAGCCTCAGCAGGAAGAGCCAGGCAGATATCTGATGTCGAGTCCAGCCTGGTCTATAGACCCAGTTCCAGGACAGCCAAGCTACACAGAGAAACCTTGTCTCAGAAAGACCTCCACCAAAAAAAATCAGTAAAACTATCGGTGTATATATACGATACCCGAGATTTCTGATGTGTGGTCCTATAAGGAGCTGCAACCGCAGGTTGAGGGCTGCTGCAGAGCGGACAGTTTAACCCTCTGGGAACAGTCCTCGGCTCTGCCGCACCCCCATCAACCGTGGTGGAGCATACATTGTAGCATCTACCTTTCCAAAACAAGAAGCCACAAAGCCAGAGCCCCCAGAACACTGTTTGGGGGTCTTTCATTACCACACAACCTTTGAGTGTGTCCCACTTTCAAGATATTCTCTTCATCTCTCAGCTGTAGTTTGAAAGCTCAAAATACCAAGAAACAGCTTTCTCTACTTCCTCTGCTTTCTTTGGTTTGTAGTCCTCCAATTTGAGAGTGGGTTTACACAACTCAAAACTATGTTTTAAGTGTGAGTGAGGAGTGAGGTGCATGTGTGTCACAACATGCGTGCCAGAGAATAACTTATGAACCAAGTTCTTTCCTTCCACCATTTGGGTCTCAAGACTAGAATTCATCTAGGCCCAGCAGTAGGAACCTTGACCCCTGTCCCAGTGTGGCTGTCTCTAAATGGTGTGTTTAATATCTTTATAAAAAGATTATCCAGGCATGGTGGCGCAGCACTTGGGAGGCTGAGACAGGAGGACCAAAAGTGCCAGGCTTGGGCTGGGAGGATGCTTGCCACGCAAGCATCAGGACCCGAGGCTGGGTTCTCAGCACCGTGTAAGGAGCTGGACTAACCCCAGGTCTGGTGGGGGCTGGGGAGTGGAGACAGGCAGATCTCCGGGGCTTACTGGCCAGCCAGTGTAGCAGAACCAGCAGGTTCCAGGCCCAGAGGAACACCCTGTCTCAAAATATATGGTGGAGAGCAATAGAGGAAGTTCCCCAGAGCCCATCTCTAGCCTCCACACATGCACACACAAATGGCCCAACCCACGCATCTGCACACACAACACTTTCACACAAGACGTGCAAGGCCTGGCTGGGTTACACAGCAAAAATTGAGAACCAGGCTTGGCAACCTACAGACTATTTTTTTTTTTTTAATTTTTTTAGAAGACATATTTATGTATGTGTGTTTGTGTATGTGTGCACATGTCCAATGGAGGCCAGAGAGGGGCAGAACAAGAGATCCCGTGAAGCTGGACTTAGGAGTGAGCTGCCTAATGCGGGTGCTAGGAACTGAACCCTGGCCCTGTGATAGAAGCCCTTAATCATTGATCGATTTCTCCAGCCCATAATAGTAATTTCTAAAGGGTCTGCTGGTTGCTTACCCAGCATACACAGGGCCCCAGGTTCGCTCCTCCATCCGTAGGTGATGCGCTCAGTCATGTGTTGTGTGGCTGTGGACTAGTCCACAGAACCACATAGATGTGTCTGCTGCATAGCTAGATGTTCCTGGTGCTGCCCACTCACTTAGATCCAAAGCAGCACCCACTTCGTGGCAGCCAGCCTCTGGACCACAAGCCAAGAACATACCCGTTGACTCTACCCCATCTGTATCTTTAGGGAATTGCTCAAGCGGCCAGATACATTTACCGCAGACTGATCAATGATGGGATTCTGAGCCAAGCCTTCAGTGTCGCTCCGGTGAGAACGTTCATTTTGTATTTATGGTTCCTGTCACGTTCCACCTGTGTTCTTCTGGGCCTCAACTCCCTCTGCCCTCTGTCCTCTAGGAGTACAGGCTCGTTCTGGTAGGGCACAGCCTGGGAGCCGGAGCTGCAGCCCTGTTAGCCATCATGCTCCGGAGGGCCTACCCACAAGTCCGTGCTTATGCCTTCTCCCCACCCCGGGGGCTGCTGAGGTAAGGTTTCTGTCTCCCGCAGGACAAGTCAAGCAGCTATTAGTCTCTCATTTACATACAGTAATTGTGTCTCCTCCTGAGAAGTTTGTTTGTGGCGTGCTCACCTGGCATGCATGAAGCCTGGAGGTAGTGCATGCCTGTCACCACAGCTCTAGAGAAGCAGGGAGGGCTCGCCTGTCACCCTGCACTACATGAAACTCTGGGTCAAATAGGAAAAGAAAGACTATGTAGACTGAACACAGGAGTGCGTGCCTGTGGAGGCAGAAGCCAGAGCAGTGTAGTCCTGAGTGAGAGAGGTCTGGTCTCTTTCTTTCATTTCCTAAATAACCAGGCTAGTCCAACTTGATACGGAGCTGAGGGAGACACAGAACTGATCCCGTGCCTCGGCCTCCGTAGTGGCTGGGACTGTAATCCTGGTACATGATAGAATCTAAGTTTTTGCTGTTTTTTTTTTTTTTAAAGATCTTTTTGTAGTTCATATGAGTGTACATGTCTGCAGGCACCTACAGAGGACAGAGGCACCAGGATCCCCTGGGACTCGAGGTGCAGGCAGTGGTAAGCTGCCCGACTTGGGTGCTGGGAACTGTCCTCTGGAAGAGCAGCATGTGGGCTGCCCTTAGGTTGTTTTGTAAAGGCATTTGAGGACTGCAGCTTAATGACAGAGCGCTTGTCTGCCATGTGTGAGGTTCCGGGTTCAGTTCCCAGTATATGAGCGCCAGGAATGTGCGGGTGTCCATGGAAGCCAAGCCAAGGAGAGGGCATCCGTCCCCAGGCAGCTGGAGCTGTAGGTGGTGGTGAGCCACACACAGTGTTTCTGGGTTCTCCACATGAGCAATAAACACTCTCAACCAGCGAGCATCTGTTCAGCCTCAAAGTTTTTCGTTTGAGAGCATTCGAGCATACAGGAGTGTACATGTGGGTGTGTTTGTGCAGTGGCGCACCACGTGTGGAGGATAACTGGGAGGTCGGGTCTCCTCTCCACTGTCTGGGTCCCAGGGACTGAACTCACATCATCAGGCTTGGCCGCAAGTGTTTTTACACGCCGAGCCCTGTTTAACGGAAGTGAGCCAGAGGCAGAGGATCCCCATGAGCCTCCCATGAGCCTCCCCTGCTGCCCGCCACCTCCCCAATCCCTAGCAATCTGCACTTGCTAGGCCCACCATGTGTATAGGGGTCACCTGGCCGCTGCACCTGCCACATTATTTTTATTTTATTATTATTATTTTATTTTTATTATTTTACACACAGGACATTATTTTTATGAGTTTGAAAACTGTTTTTCTCGGGCTGGAGAGATGACTCAGTGGTTAAGAGCACTGTCTACTCTTCCAAAAGGACCAGGGTTCAATTCCTAGCACCCACATTGGCAGCTCACAACTCTCTGTAAAATAAACAAAAAAGCAAAGAAAACTGTTTTTCTTGGCTGATTGAGCGTGTTGGGTGGACTATGCTATGTAAACGTTTGACAAAACAATAAAAAAAGACTAAAATTAAGGATTAAAAAATAAAAGATGGGACTGGAGAGATGGCTCAGCGGTTAAGAGCACTGGCTGCTTTTCCAGAGGTCCTGAGTTCAATTCCCAGCAACCACATGGTGGCTCACACCGTCTATAATGAGATCTGGTACCTCTTCTGGTGTTGGTGAAAACAGAGCATTCATATACATTAGATAGATAGATAGATAGATAGATAGATAGATAGATAGATAGATAGATAG